ATTGAATATAAATTCTTTAATGGTGAAAAACTTGACTCAAGACATACTATTCAAATGATGATTTTATCGATAATGATGAAAGATCCAAATCCTTATAATTTGGGATATTGGATGGAATCAATGGTTAAATCTGAAGAACAAATCAGTAAAGAAGAAAATGCAACATTAATACCCCCACTTCCATTTGATTTATTACCAGATACTCATAAAAGATTTCTTATTTGGAAAGAAAAGAAGGAAAAGAAGGAACAACTAAAGAAGTTGAAAGAAGCAAAAAAGAAGTTCAAAGAAGAAAGAAAAAAGTTGAAAGAAAATCAAACACAAGTTGGATCATAATAATTAAATAAACCTGTTATTTTTTATATCTATTTCATTGTAGTTAACCATCTAATTGATGAATAATACTTTCGATGTATTCAAATTGCTCTTTTCTAAAATCATCTTGTTCGATATGAAACCCCTTTAAATCAAAAACGTAATTTTCTGAACCATCTCTATAATCAGGCCAATTTGGAACATCAATTTGGAAGTTACCACCATCTTTATGATCACCATTTGAAATATTTGGATCAAGATCATGAATAAATGAAACCCAAATCTTGGAAATAGCATCTGAAATTTTTGAAGCATCTTCTGAAGGGTATACATTTGTACCATCGGAACCATCAGTTGGATGTTGTTGATTATCGAAAACATAAACAACTTCTTGATAATGAGTTGAGCCTAAATATGTTGAATTTGAAGTTTCTAACGTTGGAATATTAAATCTATATTTGAAAACTGGTAAATCATTTTCAGCATATAATTTTGCAGTGAATTTACTTCCCGCGATAAACATTAAATCACCATTTAAAGTAGCTAATCTTGGATAAGTTGAACCTAAATATGGTGGGTAAGTTATTGGTGTGTTATTATAAGTTGGATCTTGTGGTGTAACTAATTGTGAGTTGTTCCCATTATATAATTCAATTAATTTTGAAGTTGAATTATCACTTAAATGTGGAAAACTTTTTTGTAAGTAATTTTCAGTTTGTTCAGTAGTATTCAAAGTTTTATTTACAAAAGCACTACCTTCATCTGTATTTGTACCTATTAAAATTGGAACCTTATGAAATCCTTCACCGCTTTGTAAAACATCATAACCTGAACCTGTAATAACATCACCATCAATATATGGGAATCCCCAACCTTTAGTTAAGATACCATTAGTTGTATTGAAGGCATTTTGTAAACTTTTAGAATCAATTTTTTGTAAACATTCCAAATAATCAATAGCTTGGTCACATTGGAAATGTTGTAATAATTTAGTGAAATCATCTTCATTTTGTTCAGTTGATGCAGGTAAGATATTTGTGAAAACATTTGAACCACTTTCCATAATACCACCTTTTAAATATGAACCTAAATACTTATCATTATTTAATAATTTCCCCACTGAAATAGCACCTGCAGATTCACCCCAGATGACAATATGATTTGGATCACCACCAAAACCAGCAATATTTTCATGAACCCATTCAATAGCTTTAATTTGATCTCTAAGACCATTATTTGTCCAACCTTTTTGAGAAACTTGATCAGAACTTAAGAATCCAAATCCATTTAATCTATAATTAATTGTAATGGCAATGATTGGTTTATCAATTGAAACTGAATTTTCCACAATCCATGAAGTATTATAAGCAGGTCTTGTACCTGAACCATCAGTAAATCCACCACCATGGATCCAAATACCAACGGGTAATGATTCATTTTGAGGAATATTATGAGGTTTAACAATGTTTAAAGTTAAACAATCTTCAGATTGGGGTAATTTACGGGAATCAAGACCACTTGAAGCAAAACATGCAAATCCATATTCGGTAAAATTTTGAGTATCATTCCAATGATTATTATAAGTTTGTGGAGGTTGAAATCTCAATTCATTGATTGGTGGTTCAGCAAAAGGTATACCTAAATAAGCATCTTGATTGAACCCATCTAAATATTTACCAGTGATTGTACCATTTTGGATTTGAACAGTTGGAGTGGAATTTTCTCGTTTGTTGTATATTGGTGAAGATGATATTGAAGACAATAATGACAATGTGACTGCAGTTGATTTCCACAACATTTTGAAGTAACGTAGCAAATTCTCTCCGTCAATAACAACGAAATTGTAGAAGTTGAGATTCATTGAGGATCTTGTTTTGTTTATATAGATACCTGACTATCCTGACCTGACTCCACTGTCCGTCGAAGGTGTGCTCGAATAGTTGATTGGTGGTTTCACTGTCGATCAATTCCAACGTAGATCTGCTTTTAGTTTGAGTTTATACTCCTTTTGGACACCTTGCATCGGTGCTTTAACTAGAATGAGATATCTATTATCTATGACAGTTATTCATGTGAGCTATCAGTTACATTTCATATAATCATCAAGAAATTGAAAGTAAATTGGTGAAAGAAAAGTGGCTTTATATTTTATTGATGCTTATGTAATCACTATGTAATCAGAGAGCATTAACTAATATATTCAGCTGCTCAAGATTGATTACGTATTGAAGCTCAAAAAGTGCCATTAATCTACGTGGTTTATATATAATAAGTATTATATTAGCTTATACGATATTCCTATAAAAAAGACCAATTCAATCAGTCAAAGTACCTAAATTTTCTTCTTCTTCTCTTTTACGTTGTAAATTTTCATTTCTTTCCACAGCTGGTTTATAAACATAATAATAATAAAATATAGTACCAATTATACTGATTGCAATATAAGCTGAAGATACTTTATACGCATATTTATATCTTGGTGCTTCATTTGCTGGCCATAAATAAATAGTTTGCCATGCAACATTAGCATAAACAAATACAACAGTTATACCTGTACAAATGGCTCTTTTCTCTGGTGAATCACTGAAAACCTCAGCCATATATGTCAATTGGAATGGACCTATTGCCTCTGTGAATTGCATTATGAAGAAACATGCATGTTGATAACTTCTTGAAGAAGGCCAAACTGCTAAAGAAACATTTGCAAAGAAAGCTAATAAACCTTGGAATATAATAAATTCTAATGAATGTCCAAATATACTAGCTAATTTGGTGAAAAGTATCAGGGAAATAATTTGCAGGGCATTACCACCAATAGGGATCGTATTTAATTGAGAAATTGTATATGTCTTGGATCCATCTGAATTTTTCAAACTTTTCAAATATAAATTAAAATAATTTGGTGCTATAGTCCAACCTTTTACAGCAAAGATTAATACAAATGACCATGTTTTCCAATCAGTAAAAGTTGAAATGAATGTCTTCAAAGTCATATTTCTCTTTGTTTTTCTACCTGCTCTTTCCATTCTTTCTAATGCTATTCTTCTATCATCATCATTCATCCAATATTTTGCACCACCATTCTCAGGTGTATCAGGAACAATAAAGAATCCACTAACTGCGACAACTATGGTCATTAAACCATTAATAATAAACATCCATCTCCATCCTGAGAGTCCTTGTTTCCCATTTAAAGTTGTATGAATAGATGATTGCATAAACCCTGTAAACATAGCACCAACATAAGATGATGTTTGGAAAAGTCCAATTCTTAACGCTAGTTCTTCTTTATTATAATAATTTCCAAGGATTATAATAATACCAGGCCAACTGCTTGATTCAAAAATACCCATAAAGAACCTGATGGCATATAATCCATTTGGATTATTTTTAGGAACAGCACATAAAGCTGTTAAAATACCCCAAATTAATTCACAAGAGCTTAACCAATATGCTGGTTGAATCTTATTCAACATAATTTGAGAAGGAACAAGAGCAATTGAATAACCAATTTTGAAAAAACTTTCTAATAAATTGTACTGATGACCTTTAAAATTCAATTCTTCCTGCATACCAGATACATAAGCATTTGAAACATTAGCTTGATCAATAGATTTGATTAAATATGCAATAAATGTCCATGAGATTAACCAAAAATCTAATTTTCTAACAAATGTTTTCTCTTCTTTTGTCTTATACTTGATACTTTCACCAAAAAGTTTATTCCTCCATGATTTTTTCTTAGTTTCAACTTTTTCATTACTGATTATATCTGAATCACCATGGACTTCTGTAATATCATAGTTTATTTCACGTTTTGGGTCATTGTAAGCCATCTTGAAAGAGCCCTAGTTAGTCTGGACTCTGTAATATGAAATTTATCCCATGGTTCAGGATCAATCTAGTTTAAGAAGCATCTCAATCTTTAATAACAAGGGTTCACATCAAATGTTCAACTGTGTAATTTCTCAGTATTCGTCATGGTGATTTTGACAATTTGACAGCCATTTGATTGCAAATCTGTGGTGAACAAAACAAACCACCAAGCTCATTTGATGTTCTTTAAGTTAAAATACTGCAGTGCTGCCACATCTCTCTTTGATAACACATTTGAGCGCTTCTTTGTCAATTCTGGCATTCAATTTCAAGGGGTTTCGTGTTTTTTGTATCACCGAAAGCCACAAACCTGAACGGTTGTTTAAAACTTGTTTACCCTTCATATTACCATTGGCAATCAATTTCAAAATGTAAACCTCGAACTTCAATCCAGCTAAGCAGGTATCAATTCACTGATGTATTTGAATAGCTGGCATACTCGATATTTATAAGAGTACAAAAGTTTTTCGTTGAAACTTGAAAGTTGTTCGGCTTTGTTTCCTGTTTGGGAATCCCTCCGAAACAGCATTGATTTTGTACCAAATTCTTAACTTCTGATATAATTTATGGCATTGTAAAAACCAACGTTTAATAAACCATGCTATATTATTAGTCTAGAAAATTGGTAATAATAATCATGATCATGAGAATTGACTTCTGTTTCAAAAAGAAATAGATATGTCACCTGATAAATCACTTGACTAATATCAAGTCTGTTGTTTTACGCTTATAACGGTTATTAATTTTAATACAATTTTGACTTCAAAGTTCAGATCAAAGTTGAGTCCTTAATTAGATATATCAAACTACGTGCTGATTTGTTGAATCCATTATAACAAGTCACAAGTCTTTAAAAAGTTCAATTCCAGAAATTTAATCTCACACTCCCTAAACAATCTTTTGAACGTTGGTGATGGTCACTTTGTAGAGACAAAGCTCAATGAAGAATCGATTTTACAGCACATTCACTTTCATACTGACTCTATTAGTTACTGGAGTTGTTGCTTCCCCTTTAAATATAGATAATGCCTTAGTTACAAGACCTCAAAATTTAACAACAAATGAGATATGTTTCCTCATGGAATATGGAACTCTGAGCCTGGGTGGTTCAGATTCTCAGTGATAGGTATTGGAGGTGACAAACAGACATTGTTAAGGTACGACAAGAGTGATACTTTTGAAGAAGTCTTCATTAATCATGTTGACAGAGAACTTCTAAAACAATTTGGGTATGATAATTACCAGGATTATTGTTCAAGTGAAAGAGTTGTTTTTTTTCTTGATATGGCTGTCAAGTCACTGAAAGGAGCGCTTCGTGTGAGGACTGGGCCAGGTTGTCGTGCTTCTTGTAAAAGAGAATCATCTGATCTGTTGTTTCAATTGTTCAAACAAGAACCATTGAGACCATATTTTGTTGAAGTCAGTCAAAAACAAAAGCCCAGCTTATAATGTTGCCCTTGTCGGTTGGAATATTCTTTGATGTCGAGGCTTCTCTACTTTTTCTTGAATATTTCATCATGAATTTATATGTTTATATACGATCATTAATATCTAATTTAATTTAGTGGTGGGTACTTGGCTACTAAACAAGTGTCTAATGTTTAATATTTAAAACAGACTTGAATTTGTTCGTGTAATTAAAGCCTTATTTGCATCTTGCAAACTACCGTATGTATGGTTCTGATCCTTTTTTATGTCGTGTCTTCTATATACAGAGTAGACGGATAAGATGAAAGAGCTGGGTGTGTAATATGTATTCAATATAGTCAACACTCAACAGATTTCTCAGCATCTATATGGATATGGTTATCGGCATTATAATTGCGTGGTCTTAACAAGTTTTGGAACTTAAATACCCGAGTTGATGGCAGATGTCTGCATTTGGCTTAATTTTAAGTACAAGTTAGGGAACCCGAAGAAAGCATATCAAGAGTCCCAAGCCTGAACTCAAATTCAGAGAGTTTCTGCAAGCTACCTTTACCATGTTCCATTCAGTTTATCTCTCATATTATAGTCTCAATTATATATGCGCATTTTGAACGAGCCAAAATGAGTCTTTTAATGGAGAGTATTAACAATTCGAGTAAAGTCTTAATTAATTGGAAAATATTGAGCTTTTAAATGAGTATTTTTACATCAAATCATTAGAGTCGACCGAAATTTTGAAATTTTTCAGGTACGGGTTCTGGATCTGATCTTTGATTGTTGAATGGATCTCCGTATACCCCAGATTATCAGATATTGAAAAATTTCAATGTAATATGATGACAACGATACCAAGAACTGTGAGGTCTCGATTAAAATTCATTGAGCTACAGATACACAAACATTAATTCAATTTGGATATAATTTGCAATCTTCTTCATTTGAGTTTGTGATTTTCTACAACCTTCAAGAATTTTTGCGTTATTTGACAAATTACAAAAATTACACGAATCAAATAGCTCTAATTAATTTTTTGATACATTTGAACGAGTTAAATCCAAACTAACTTCAATAAACTCTTTCCAAAACTATAAATCTATATGAAAGTCCTAACTTTTGATAATTCTTTCTTCCCTCTTTTTTTTTCATCATCTATCAAAGTCTTAATTAATATACCATATAATTATAACAACTTTGAAAGTACAATTATCAATAAATATCAGCAAACATGAACAACAACAACAATTATAACAATAACAATAACAATAACAATATGAACAATTTTATCGGTGACGAAAAATACAAGAGCTATCTCAGTGCGAATCAACCTCGAGTCTCCCAGCTCGTCAAATTTTATGATTCCCTAAACAACAAAATTCCTGGTGATAAATTATTTTTAAGACAATGTGCTACAGTTAAATCAAAAGCTTCAGATAATTTAGAATCATTAAAAGCTGATTATCATAAGTACGTTGGTCACCCAATGCCAAACTTCAAACTTGAACGTTCTGAAAAACATGATGAAAATAATTTATTCTCTTCAAATTCCCTCCATTTTAAAATTAAACAAACAGCCTCAAGTGTTGAAAGTAAGAAAAAATATCCTCATCCAAAATACAATAGCTATTACTTTTGTGAATTTTGTGATTTGAAACATCTTGAAAAAAATCATAAACATACCACTGTGGAAATGGTTCAACCAAATGGTGGAACATGTCATATTGATACAAACAAATTCCAAAATTTTTATGATACAGGTAGTTCTCAGCTTTCTCATCATTTAGGTGTTTCTCATGGTATCTTAAAAGAATCAATAATGCCTCAACCTTTTGTCGGTTTTTCCAGAAGCTTGAAAAATTCTAATGGTGAATATAAATTATCAATGGTTTGTCCTCATCAACATTGGAGTAATGGTAAATTAGTTGGTTGTAATGCAGTTTTCGAAATTGAAATGGATAAATTGTTTAATGATCATGAACATCCTTATAAACCATATTTTAGACATTTTTATAAATATCATAAAACCCAAAAAACTGCCGGTCAAGATCAAACTAATAATGATCATAAACATATTCATAGTAAAGATAATGTTTTCCTTCCAATCTTTTGGTCAGCTTTCAATGATACAATCAATTATCAAAGAAAGAACACCAAGAACGGTTATTGGAATCATACACTTGAAACTGTTGGAAGAGAACAGATTTTGCACCTTGAAAGTAACTTTGTTCAGCATGGATATCAATATAGAGGATTGATGGAGTCAGAAGAACCATCAATATCTCATAAAGCTGTTTCAAGATCAAAATCAAAAACACCATCACCAAAACCAAAGAAACATGAAGTTTCATCTAAAGTTGTTAAACCAAACACAAAGAAACAAAAATTGAGTTCAAGTGCCTTGGGAAATTTAAGAAGTGTTCAAAATGGCTCTCAACAACAAGAAGTTGAGTCAGCTTCCCAAGATGCTCTTGATTTGAACAATATAGAAGACGATAGCGTGTTTCTTCGAGAACTTGCTAAAAAGTTTTCTCATGTTGAAACGAGTATTGATTTTGCATTCTCATCTCGACAAACACTTTATCCTCGAGTAGTTGAACAGCCTCCTCACCAACAACAACCTATTCATATCCCTCAAGCTGACAAAATCCCTCCAGTTGTTGATGATTTGTTAGAGGTCCAACCAATGAATGACATCATCCAATCAGATAGATGCAATGATGAAACATGTCAAGATCATTATGAAGATTATCAAGATACCAATAATTGGTTTATTGACGAAGAAGATACACCTGATTGGTTATATAATATGCTTGATGATGCTGATATTCCTTTATATAAACAATTATGAATATGAAGTTACGATGTTACGATGTTACGATGTTACAACTTACGATGAATATAGAACAAGTTTGAAACCCCCTTTTATGATTTCCAAATCCTCCCCTTTTTTTAAAGAGTTTTTTATATATTTATATATTTTATTATTTTATGTATGACTGAAAATTGAATCTAACATGTAGTATATGAAGTATATTTTACTATGTAAGAACTTCAAGAGTAATACTCTAAATATATTGTGTACTAATTATATAAATCTTCGGAGCACAATTCCGAATTGGGAAATAATCCCGAAGTATGTTTAAATATTTATAAGTAAATTGATTTTGTTCCTACAGGTTAAATTTATAAATCTAGTATAAATAATATCTATTGCGATGAGTTATAGGGTAGACACCGACTAATACACAAATCTAAAATCTAATCTTTTATTACCTTCATCTTTTGTTTCTTTAATATAAATTTCCTTTTCTTCATCAGTTAATTTATCCCATTTTAAAGCTTTTGATTTATTTCTCCAAATATAATAATATCTTGTTAATATACAAACAATAAAACCTGCAAATCCAATACCAATAAGATCTGTATTTCCTCTTTTATATAAAGGTGCATCATCAGGTCTATAAAGATTTGCACACATTATACCACTTGCTTGAGAAAAAATATTAACCACTGCAGAACTAACAGCTCTTAATCTAACAGAATTTGAATTTGCTGAACACCAACTAATACTCAGGGGCCAAATTTGAGCATGACCTAATAATAAAGTTAAAATTATATAAGTTGGCCAAACTTGAACTTGAGCACCTGACCAAAATCTTAATGGGAATAAAAGGGCTAAATTCCAAATTGGAACTGTTGCAATTAATAAAGATCTTGATTTTATAATTTCTGAAAACCATGAAAGGAAAACCATTGTTATAATTGCCAACACGTTATAAGGAATTGTTAATAAATTTGTATTGAATGTATTAAACCCTAATTTTCTTAAAGTTAAAGTCATATAATTATTTACAGGTGCAGAACCTGAATCAACCAAAAATCTAATTAAATAAATTGGTAATATATCATAATCAATTAAACTTTTAAATAATTCTTTTAATGAAACTGGTTGTCTATTATTCATATCACCTTTTGATGGATCATCTCTCAAAACTCTATTAACAACAATTTTTTCTTCATGTTCTGTAAACCAACCATTTGGTCTAAACCAAGTTTTAGTTTGAACAGCAGATGGAGGCATCATAAAAAATGAAATAATACCAACTAATAATGTGAAAACACCTTCAATTATAAATAACCATTGCCATCCATGAGGTAATAAACTTGTCTTGATTCTTAAGAGAGCAAATGCTAATAATGAAGAAAAAACTGAAGTTAATGGATTTGCAATATAAAATAATGATAATCTAAATGGTAATTCCTTTGAGGTATAAAAATAAGTCATCCAAAGACATGTATCACAAATAAATCCACCTTGGAAAGCACCAATTAAAGCTCTTGTAACATAAAACCCAGCTTTATTCGTGATACCAGCTTGAGCAATTGAAACCATACTCCAAATAATTAATTGCATTGGAATCCAAACATCAGCACCTAATTTCTTGGAGATTAATTGAGATGGTAATTCAGCAGCTAAAAAACAAACTAAATTAATTGTATTACCAATGTTATAATCACCAGTGTTTAAACCTAAATCATCCAACATATTATCAGAAAGTGCTTGTTGAATATTATATCTATCAAAATCTAAAGCTGTAAGCATAAAATAAGCCCAAAATGTAACTTTCCAATCTAATTTCCATAAAAGTTTTTTTTCATCTTTTAAATTCCATTCATAATTTGGATCAAACCAATCTTTACATTCATAATTTGTTTTTTCATAAATTTCTTTATAATATTTTGCAATTTCAGGATCTTTAAAAATATGATCTAATTGTTTTTCACTTGTAATTTCAGATTCATAATCTTGGTTAAGTTCATTAGTTTTTTGTCTTGATGAATCTTTGATTATTTGTCCAGTATTTGAATCATAAGAAGATTGTTCATTGAAAGATGAAGGACGTTTTTCATCCTTATTCAAGTTTAATAGATTAGATAGTACCCCCATTTGATAAGAGTATTGATATTTTTTAACTCTCTAAAGCAATAATCAATACCCATGATTAATAGCAAATCAAGATCTTTATATATACCACCGAAGTTTTGTCCATCCACAACTTGTTCAAGCCTCAATACTGACACCAACAGTGTGGCAACATAAAACAATACAAATAAACGACTTTCACAACGTTTTTTCATATACTAAATTCCCATCTCATGTGATTTTCCATGATTTTTTGTTGATTAATATAATTGTACCAGCAGCCATTGTATTCATATCATCTTATCATCATCAGCCACACTTTGAAGTTATGCAGGGGGCTGATACTCCAGGGTATTGTTTGTGTAGTCAAATGTATATCAGTCATATGGAGAACATAAAGTAGGAATCATAGTAAAATATCTCTTTAAACCCATCTTTCAATACTCATTCATTGTATCTTATTTGAATCTTTGTTCATTAAAATCACAATTGTATAGTGAATTTATTTGCCAAATCGTGGCTTTATGAAAAGTCTTGACTAAATCTCAGTCAAACAATCAAACAATCCATATAAGCGAATGGAAATCATAGGTAACACTTCTTGAATACCAGACTTTCATAGTAATCATAATACTCTGTAAAGTAATAATATAATAATTTGTGCTTGTTTTCATTAAATATACGTTGATTAGTTTGTTAAACTTGAAGTAAAATTGTAATTGTATTATATAAATATTCAAAATTGGTAAGGGCAGCATGTGATTAATTATATTCAACTTTTAATTAATTTAGAAATGAATATTGTGATTATTACATTATTAGACATTGTGATAGCTATATGATTTAGGTATATTTATATATATATTATTAATATAGTTATTAAAATATTAATTATAACCTCCATGATTTTTTAATTTTATTTCAATATTTGGAAAATTCAAAAAATCTTCAAATTTTTTTTCGAATTAGATTAAAAAAAATATATTAGTAGCTTCATAATAATTAATTCATACAAAATACGTTAAAAAAAGATTATTCTAATTCATTTTGTTCAAATAAAACAATTTTTTATTAAAAATCTGGGGAAAGTGGTCAGGGGCACATACATATATACTATGTATCAAAATTTATTAACTAGTTCGATTGTGTCTTTTTATATACAATATTATATGTTAAAGTACTTGTATATAGATATCAAACTACCTTATTAGCAAGGGATATTAAATAAAGGAGATGTGTTGATGTTGATGTTGATTTTACAATTAGTAGCACTGGATTATATAAGATCTTGTTACAACTTAGTCGAAGTCAGTAGTCATCTTTGTGTCAATTCGTCTTTGTGTAAATAAATTTTTGAATTAAATTACAAACATAAATTAAATGCATATCTGATACTAAATTTAGCTTTTTGTTACATGTTATTTTTGTGTCATTGTGGGTTTGTGGTTGTTCACAAAAAATATAAATTTCTTTGAATTTCCTTCTTTTTTTGTTTACTTCATTTTTTTGTTTACATCTTTTTGTTCCCACTGCATCTACAACTGATTATTATGGATTATATTGGATTATGGTTTGATTTATTCAACTACTAGGTTTTGGTTCCAATGTGTATTACACAAGAGGTGAAGTTACTTTGTGGTTTTATGTTTTATGGTTGTTTCAAGCACTGTTTTGTTGTTGTTATGTTGTTATTGTTCATTTCGAACAGGTTTACTCCATATTGGTTTTGTATCCAAGTTCAACTCATTTTTCAATAGATCATTCCAACTTTCAATCATTCATACAAGCACTTTATGTCAATGTGCTTTCCATTTACAATTCATTTTCAATTTGATGTTGTGGTGAAACGTTAAACAGGATGTTTTTGGGATTTTTGGTTTATGTTGATTACAATTTCAAAATAAAGGTAAGTTTGTTCACTTGTTTGCATCTAATGGATGGATGTTTAAAGAGTTGTGATAATTTTCGGCAAAGATTTGACAAACATCTTTTAATTGAACTCCAATTTCATATATCATAATGATACTACTAACATTTATTTAGGGAAATTTTCAATATTAGGATATGAATAGATTTGAAACTTTATGATATTAGGATATGAATAGATTTGAAACTTTATGATATTAGGATATGAATAGATTTGAAACTTTCTGGAGGTCTACTTTTTTCATTGTGTTTATTGAGCTTTTATACTTTAACGTTTTAGATGGATTGTGCTTTTCACTGTTGATTTTATCTTGTGCTGTTGAATTACCTTTAGGAATGACATGTCAAGAATTTTGTGGTCAAATTGATTGAATATGTTGAGAATACATCTAGGGGGTTTGAAATACAAGTGATGTGACAGATTATTAATACTTCTTGAAATTCAAGGATGAAAAAGTATGTAATACCCTTTTAAACTATGGATTGTTGCTATATTTTAAAGTTATATTGATATCAATTGAGCGGCACATTCTTCTGAGGTCATTACCCTTTGATTTTAGCTTCGATTCCAATCATTGACCACTGATGCTACTAACAATCATTTTAGAAACTTACAAAGGATTTCAGTGGATGATTATTTTTCAATTCGAAGGATAGAACTAAATTGGATTTCAAAATCAAAAGTTTGTTAAATTTTTCATGATTAAAGAAATATAAAGAATTGAGATAAATATGACTCGGCACAATCATTTTTACTCAATTATATTTTAATCAACACCTATTATACTGATACTACTAACTTACATTTTTAGGATTCTTGCTGTATGAATTGCTGCTATTTGGTCAATCATTTATTAATCATTATATGTTTTACTTTGTCCATTGATTGCTAGATTTCTCCGGACTTTTTTGTTTGAAAGTTCACCATCAAGATGTATTCTTTGGATTTATATGAGTTTAGTTTTGCATGAGAAATATTTTTATTTCAGTTAGAACTTAGGATGAGTACAGCTGGTTTATCTAGAACTTTTTGATAAGTCATAGCAGAATTTGAAAAGTAAGTTATAAACTTTGATCCAACTAATGGTCATTAAAATAATTCACTAATGAGATCTGAATGAAACGGCAATCAAATTTAGATTATCACAATTGGAATTATATTTTTTTGATTTACTTCTTGGAATTGATATTACTAACAATCATTTAGACACCCAGATGAAGCTTCAGTTGTTCAATTATTTCAAATTAGAAGAATACAATTGAATTGGATTTTGAAAGTGAATTAAAGTATGTTAAATCTTTAAATGAATGAAAACGTGAGAATGATTCGGCACAATTCATTTCTTTAGTTTTCCAATTTTACTTTTATGTTAAACTGATACTACTAACCTACCAACATATATTTAGGATTCCCCATATTTGACTTGAAGTACAATTAGTGACTTTCAAGTATTAATCAAATCATGCCAAAATCAAACTAACAAATCATTAAGACTATATTGCAAAAGCTTAAAGCCAATTATATTTTTGCTAACACATTTTTCAAACAACTCAAATAAAAGAAGATGAACAACCATCACCTTTTAGGTGAATTTTTTTGGATCTATCATAAAATTCCAATAACTTATATTTGAGGGTCATTTAAGATTTAAACCCTCAAATTAACATTCATGTTTTGAATAATGACCATGAAAAGTTTAGTCTCCATAGAGATAAACCACAAAATGTCAAACATTGGCTATTGTTTGTTATTGTTGAGATTCGAGAGAAAATCAACTAGACAACTTAAACCATATAAGTTTTGACCAAAAACAATCACAAAAAAATCAAGATATAATGAATTTCTAAACGGTTGTTTCATATCTAAATGACCCAAAAGAATTAAAATATGAAATGAAATTCAAAAATTATAAGTTTGAAAACCTTTTTGAAAGGTATATGATGTCATTAAGACAAGACTAAAAGTCCAAAATATCTAAAGGATATATCTATAGAAATGGGTGAGGAACAAATGGATGAAAAATATTCATCAACCTCACCCTTTTAATCCATATTTCAAAATGGATCTAAGATAAGAGTTCTGGTTAGTTAACCAAAACTCAAGATCAAAAACAAACTTTTTGAAATGGAAACTTTAAGGTAAAAACATCATTGATCAAAATGAGGTAATTGAAACCCCCATATTGAACGTCATATGAAGAAATAAGTTTTGAAACAACTAAATCTCAGCATTTCAGTTACCACATGAGCGTAATGGAATTTGAAAATAATCGAAATAATCTGGGGATTACTCAAATTTCCAGATCTCACTTTGGATCAGGAAAAAGAGAGATCAGCTTAAATTGCTGAAGTTGAATTTGTAGATTCCATAAACGTATAATATATCTCTGTGTATATGATTTATAGAATCACGTATGATCATATTTAATACAAATCTATATTCGTACAATGTGGAATATATAAGGAGATTATTAAAATTAAAAGCAATAAACATCTATAGCTATATAATAGTTTATAATTATCCATCAAATTCATGAATATGATTTTTTATAAAATAAAATTGATTATTTCTTTTTGAATCATCTTCAATATGAAATATTCATTTAAATTGAAAACAATTTGTCTTCCTTCATTATAATTTGGCCAATTTGGTGTATCAATATCAAATTTAACATATTATTAGAGCTTTGAGGATTTGAATTTAAATCATTTATAAAAAATATCCATAAGGTACAAGCAAACTACAACTAATCAATTCAAAAACAATGTATTAAAAATCAATGTAAACACGTCACAATGTTAATCATGAACAATGAATCATTTCAATAATAAAGTAAAGTAAATATAATACTAACATCATCAAAAGACTGTCTTTTAATGGAATAATAAGTATCCATTAATCGGCTTTGTATACTCACCATAAACAATAAGCCTAGGGGAACTAATATATCACGAACATGACCTGAATTAACCCAGTTCCCCCTAGTTAAGAGTCAATTCAAGTCTTGGTAGCGCCTCTCTAATACTTTCCAGATGATTAACAAAGTGATTGTAGTAATCAAATTGAATCAAATGGTTAGTATTAATATGGTCAAGAGTAACTCATTCAACAATGATCAACAAGAATAATTAAGAAATGAAATAAACTGAATGAATTGTTTATAAATAACTTCTTGTTTGCTATGAAAATAAAAATGAGAAAATTAAAAATAAACAATGTGTGGATTATGTAATGCGTGTACCAAGTGTTATGTAATCAGTGACTATATATTATATTATACTATATGGTATAGAGTATGGTATACTAGAGTATATAAAGTACTGGTATTAACTACAATAGTTTCAAAATCAATCAACATTCAATTAAATACACGTCATAGTGTTAATATGAACAGTGTAGTAATAAACATTAGATTACACTGGTGTTTCTTAAAGTATGATATAATCACAACTTCTTATACCTTATAATACTTACTTTATATGAATGCTGAAATATTTCAACAGGTTATGAGCCTACTTGGAAGCGAATCTATTGGATAAGCTTCCAAGTATAGTAATTAGGTGTAACGAAAAGGTTGAAAAAAGATTATTGGAATCATATTATCAATGATCACAACATTGACAATTAAGTTGTTTGTATTTTGTATTGGTGATTTTGTTTTTTAGTGGATTTTCTTGTATTTATATCCCAAATTTTTTTTTTTGTTTGTTGTCCTTTTCGCGAATATTTTTAATGTTTTGATTTTGATTATTTGCTATCAGGAATTTAGTTGAATATACAAAACTTATTCAATTAATTCCATTGTTATTCTATCAATTGATTCAAAATGGATGAAGAATACGATGTTATTGTTCTTGGTAAGTATACCCCTTTGTGAAAACATAATTGAATTACTTTTATACTAACTATTGAAATTCCAGGGACTGGTAAGCAAACAACACATACACCTTATTCAAATTGATATTTTACTAATTCATCTTAGGTTTAACTGAATGTGTATTATCTGGTTTATTATCAGTAGAGGGTAAAAAAGTCTTACATATTGATCGTCAAGATTATTATGGTGGTGAATCTGCTTCATTAAATTTACAACAAGTGAGTATATCAATTGATCCTTATAGACATAATGACTAACAATTCTAGTTATATGAAAAATTTAAACCTGGTAAAACCCCAGATGAATCTCTTGGTCGTTCTCGTGATTGGTGTATTGATTTAATTCCAAAATTTTTAATGGCAAATGGGGAATTTACAAATATTTTAGTTCATACAAATGTTACAAGATATGTTGAATTTAAACAAATTGATGGTTCATTTGTTCATCGTTACAATAAAGTTTCAAAAGTTCCTGCAACTGAATATGAAGCTATTTCTTCAGGTTTAATTGGTTTATTTGAAAAAAGAAGATTAAAAAATTTCTTACAATGGGTTGCTCAATATAAAGAAGATGAAATTTCAACCCACAAGGGTTTAAATTTAGATCAAGATACCACAGATACTGTTTATAATAAATTTGGTTTAGAAGATGGTACAAAAAATTTTATTGGTCATGCAATGGGTCTTTTCGATAATGATTCATATTTACAAGAACCTGCAAGACCTGCAATTGAAAGAATTATCTTGTATGTTCAAAGTGTTGCAAGATTTGGTAAATCTCCTTATTTATATCCTCTTTATGGGTTAGGTGAATTACCTCAAGGTTTTAGTAGATTAAGTGCAATTTATGGTGGTACATTCATGTTGGGAACTCCAATTAATAAAATTTTATATGATAAAGAAGGTAAAGTTGAAGGTTTAAATTTACAATTAGATGGTAAAGAAGAAACAACAAAATCCAAGGTTATTATAGCAGATCCAACTTATTTCCCTGATAAAGTTTCAAAAACTCAAAAATTAATTAGAACAATTTCCATTGTGGATCAATTACCTTTAAAAAATGGTGAAACTTCTGGACAAATTATTATAACAGGTAAAGAATCTGGTAGAAAAAATGATATTTATATCGCCCTTATCGGTTCAGAACATAAAGTTTCACCACCAGGTAAAAACGTTGCAATTGTATCAACAATCATCGAAGGTGACACCGCACCACATTTACAAATTTCATCAGCTTTTAAAATCTTGGGTATTAAAGATTTTAATTATACATTTATGGGAATAAGTGAAATTTTTGAACCTATTGAGGATGGATCTAAAGATGGGGTTTTTATATCAAAATCTTATGATGCAACTTCACATTTTGAAAGTGTTACTGAAGATGTTAAAGATATTTATTTTAGAGTTATGGGTAAACCTTTGAAGTTGACAAAATTAGATGAAGGTGAGTTTAATGCGTTTGCATAATATTTAGCGTTAGCTAAATATTATAAATAAATAATTTAGCGATAGCTAAATATTAAATAATTTAGTGATAGTATAAACAAATTGATTAATTTACCCTTTAACTATATAATAGCTATACAAATTTATATGTTTATGAATTATTATTATTTCTGTACATATTGTAAACAACTGATTTTTATCAATGTTATACAAAGGGATAACAATTTGATAGTTTGAACTGTATTGATCAGTATATGTTATTTTGATATTTTAGTATCAAATTAGATCATTGAGCTCATAGTACTTTATCAAAACCAAGTAATTTTAAAAGAATTTCAACAATGTATCAAGTACTATTTGAATAACGTAGTTCATGTTGAATTTATGAATTTATGGAAAATCGCGAATATCTTAAATTGATCTTTTGTATGAGAATTTAATCCACCTACATAATTTATGATTATTGTTGAACAAGTTGATGGTATATTATACCAACTACTAAAATATGAAGTGTTACTAGGCATACAGTTCTCACAGAAGGTCTCCACTTATATTTATCTTTAAATCAAACAAGTTACTGGTGGTAATTTTCAATTTGGTTTCAATTATATGTGCTTCTCAACAAATTTCAAATACAAATCAATTATTAAAAAATTACTGATCAATCTACAACATGGATGAATATAAATACAATATAGATACCATAACAATTAATAATTTTATGTTCTTCACCAGGAAATTTGATTCTGATGATTTTTTTAAAAAAAATAGTAAAAGAAAAGATTTAAATTTGATTAATTTAGAAACACTAGGTAAAATTAATAATCATAAATGGTCACAAACCATCAATATTAACTCTGATAAATTTAATAAAATTATTGATAAAGATATTCACAATCCAGATTCAATTAATGATCAATCAGAATCAAAACCAATTGAATATATTCTTAAAATTATAGATCCTGAATTTTTCTGGTTAAATTTCATTAAATATGGAATGAAAAAAGGTGAATCACTTGAACCACGTTTAGGCTATGATATAGCTTGTAAATCTTACTTAAATGAACTTGTCGCCTTCAGAGACATTGGTAATTATAACAAGAGTTGTATTGATGAGGAACAAATGATCAATATTCCAACATTAGTTAATTTTGGAATTATTAATATGGAAAATCCAACACATAGAGTTAAAGATCAAGAATCGATTTATGAACCAGATGAAGCTAAAATTCCTAATCATGTATTCTATTTCTTGATGGAGAAAATCCACAAAACAAATCATACTATTACTCAAAACCATATCAAATCATTAAAACAACAAATACACAATCTGAATCATATTGTTAACATACGACATAATGATATTAGAGGTGATAATATCATAATATCAGGTGAAAAGGCTTATTTAATAGATTTTGGAAATTGTGTGTTGTGTAGATCCAAGGGGAAGCCAATGTATCAGAAAATTGAAAGATCAAATGATTTGAAAATGCTTGAAGATTATATTGATAGAATTAATGAAAAGATTGGTAATTGAATTATAAGATACTTCCAGAGTTTTAAATTAAGCAGTAGATTCATTATACGTAGCAAGAATCTTCAAAAATATATACAAGTTATTAATTTTTAGATCATGATATTCATTATTTATTAAAAAAACTATATGTAAAAGGATTATAATTTATATAAATTGGGTTGGAATAAACTTGTTTTTTACATGAACAATACATATTAAAATTTATATAAATTAAAAAACCTTTTTTGTTTCCTTTTAATGATTTGTACCAAAATATTATTAAATTATTAGTGATGACACTTGAATTAGATTTAACAGTTCTTAAAAGTTTTAGATTTCAAAAACATCTTTATGATTTCATTAAAAAATTAAAATTAAATGTTTAGTAATATTATTATTATGCAAGAATGAAAGTGAATGAATGAATGGTGGGTGCTGTTTATATTTAATCTAATCTTGATTTACCTCCTGGTTGTAAATTTGATGATGCAGAAACTGGTATTGACATATCAAATTGTGATTCAATTGAAGTTTGTGAATTATTTGAAGCTCTTGAAAAAGATCTTGGAACTTCTGAATCATTTTCAAAAACTGATAATGCAGGTGATGTTATTTCTGAATCATCAAAAATATTTGATCTTGATTGTCTTTGAATAACATTTAATTCAACATTATTAATAGCTCTTTGTGATGAAAAAACTTGATTTTCAACATCAATTTCTGGTGATAAACTTAATGGATCTGAATTCCAAATATTTGGTTTTATAATTGATCCATATGACCAACGATTTTTATAATTATAATTTATAACTGGTAAATAATTATATTTAGTAAATTGGAAAACAACAAATGATAAAAATGAACCTGCAATTAAATCGAAAAAATAATGATGAGTTAAATACATTGTTGACCACCATAACCAAATAACATATAACAAGATAATTGGTGAAGCTTTTGGAAATAACCAAAATAAAAATAATGCATCCATTGAAGCTGAACCTGAATGTAATGAAGGGAATGCACCGAAAACAACTGGTGAAGTCTTTGAGAAAGCTGTAGTATACATATCAAATCCTAATATTTCATCAATTCTTGCTAATCCACCAGGTGAACCCAACATTGAATAATTTGCTGGATCTAATCCATGTAAAATTTTATACCATGGAGCAGCTGCAGGGAACAAAACTTGAGTAACAACACCAATTAAATTCATATAACCAAATGCAAAACCAAAAGATCTTAAAGCAGTTGGTGGACCCCATAAAAAGATTAATGCAGCGGTAACAAATGGGAAACTAAAATGAATTAATCCATAAGGTAACCAAGCTAATATATCCAAGATTGGTGCAGTTGAAGTAGCTAATAATTGAGATAAGTTATCACCATATAATATAGTTTCAATAGCTGGTAATACTTTAACAGAAATTGGTGGTCTAAAAGCAGCATCTAAATTTTTAGAATTAAATAAAAATGCAACCCATGCTAAAACTGGTGAACCATAAATGAAAAATTGTGAAGTGAAAGGAATCAATAATGACGTTATATATAATGAAACAATTCCTAATTTAATGAAAATGTTTAATTGATTTAAAAAAAATGAAATTGTAAAGAAAAATGCTAATGTTGAATAATTTAAAACTTCATATTTAGTAAATTTATGATTTTTCAATCTTTCAACAGTGATTTTAGGATTTAAATTCAAATCTATATCAGCAATAACAGCACCATTGGGTCTTTCATCTAAGAAATAACTTTGAAATAGCTTTATCAAAAATGACATGATCTATGAATTGTATATGGTTTTATAATGACAAAATAAAGCGATTCCGCTGTGTATTGAACAACCAGTAATTTGATAGTCTAATTGTCTAAATGAGATCTAGTGATTATTTGGGATTTAATGAGCTGATTCCAGTTCAAAATTATGAGTTTAAGTGGCAATAAATTTTGGTTAAATTAAAGATCTTAAAATTGATGGTTTGTTTTGATTTTTTAATGAGAACAAAAGAATGAGAAAAAAAATAAAAATAGGAGAAAAACAAAACATTCGCGGAAAAAGGAAAAGAAATTGAGAATTTTGAAACTTCCGAGTTCCGAAAGTCGCGTATTCGAATCCCGACAATGGCATTTTCAAAAAAAGAATTATTTTTGGCAATTACGAGGGTAATTTTATTATCATGTGACGCGTCATGTGACTATGTTACCCCCGTAATTCAAATGATTTATACCCATTATACACAGTGAAAATAATTAATTAAGGGTAATTTTTTGAAGACTATGGAATTACAAATTCCTCAATTCAAAAGGTCAATTGTATGGATACTATAATCCTATTGCTGCTGCTATAATGAGTGATATTCGTCGTTCTTCAAGGTCCAATAAGGGCAAAAATTCAAGATTAGAAGAACAAATTAAATATGAAGAATTAATTTCAAAGAGAAAAGAACAAGAAGGTAATGCTAATGATGATGATGAAGAAGAAGAAGGTGAAGTTCTTTGTACTGTTTGTGGTACTACTGATGATAACTATGATGCTGAGGAAGACGATCGTGATATGATTCAATGTGAAGAATGTTTATCATGGCAACATACAGTGTGTATATTTGGTAAGAAAAAAGTACCAAATCTTTATAAGTGTAATATTTGTGATCCTAATAATATTATATTTGCAAAACTTAAATTTGAATTAGATCCTGAAACTATAATGTTAAAGAAAAGAAAATCTAAATCGAATAGTAATAAGAAGAAACAAATTGGTGATGATTATAAATCTAATGATAATGATAAAGATCAAGATGAAGATCAAGATAATAATATAAGTGATAATGATAATATTCAAGAAGAAAATTTATCAGATGATGAATATAAAGTTAAAACCAATAGACCTTCAAGTTCTAGGAAAAGATCAAGATCTGATGATTCAATTAAATCTGAAACTAAAAAAAGACCAACACAAAGATCAAGACAATCTTCATCAATAACTATAAATGAAAATGAAATTGAATTAAAAGCAAGAGATGCAGTTAAGAAAAGATTTGAAACAATGTTCAATAAATTATTAACACCAGGAACAAAAATACCTAATGAAACTGATTCATTAGATGAATTATCACATAAATGGGCCAAAAAATTAGAAGATGAATTATTTAATGTTTATCATAATTTAGAAAATGGTAAATTAACTCCATTATATAAAGAAGTTAGTACAAGAATTTTTGTTAATGTTAAAGATGAAAAAAATTTAAAATTAAGAAATTCAATTATAAATAAACAAATTTTATTTAAAAATTTAGTTAAAATGCCAGTTAGTGAATTATTAAATCCTGATTTACAAAGAGAAAAAGAAGAAGCTATAAAAGAATCAATGACTCAAGCAACTTTAGAAGCTCCACAAATGTCAAATATAAGAAGAACTCATAAAGGTGATGTATTAATTGAAAAAGAATTTGATAATTCAAATCAACAATATGATTTTAATGTTGGTTTAAAAATGGATAATGATGATAAAAAATTTATAAAATCTGAAACTTCTGTCTTGAATGATCGTAAAAATTCAAATATTTTCAATAATGAAAGACAATATGATGATGAAGAAGATGATGATGTCCATGTTGATGATGAAGATCATAATGAAAGACAAGAAAGATCAAGATCAAATTCAATTCATGAAGATGAAGCATTATTACAAATTTTAGGAGAAACTGAAAAAGATGTTCAAAAACAACAAGAAAAAAGAAATAAATTAAATGATGAATATTCACCGATTTCACAAAATCTTAATTTTAAATGGTCAGGACAAACTATATTTGTTGGTATGACAAATTTTGCAAGTGAATTAAAATTCAAATCAACAAGTCTTGATGATGAAGATTTTAATAAAATTTCTCAAGATTTATTAGATAATAATTTACCATTAGAAATTGAAGGTAGATTAGATTTGAAAAAAGCTGATGATTATATTAAAAAAGTTTCTAAATCAAGAAAATTAATTTTATTACAATTATTTAATACAGATGGAGAATTAAATGATAAAAATTTTTATAAATTATTTGACTATTTCCATTCAAGATCAAAATGTGGAGTTATTAAAAATAAAGAATCATTTATAAAAGATGGTTATTTAATTCCATGTAAAACTTCAAGAGATCAACCAAGATTTTTTAAAGAATTTAATCAAGAAATTATAATTGATGATGAAGATAAACCAAAATTATTTATTGTGTTTATTATAAAACAAGAATTAATTAAAGATTTTAAACCAATTAATTCATCACAATTAGAAATTCAACCTTTACCTCCTACAATCCCTCAACCAAATGTTCCATCAAATGAATTTTTATCAAGATTACCATCAAATGTATTAGAATTAGTTAATAAAATATTTGATGAAAAACCAGAAACAAGAGTTGATTCAAATTTATTAATAAATTATTTAAAATCCAAAATTTCAAATGGTGAAAATATTTAAAAAAATAGACCTTACAAGGTCATGTATTATATATTATATAGCTATGTTACAAAACGTTTGCATGAATTAATGAAATGGATAATGATATGTATATTAATGTATTGAAGAAGATCTTTTAAAGTGAATCGAGATCAGTGATGGTCTATATGATCATTAAGTACCATAATATCATTCATAGCTATTCACATTGTATATTAGATATTAATGACAATCAAATGTTAAACAGATATATATTGTAGAGTAAAAGACGTTTTTAAATCAGGTCTATACATTGAATATATGTTCGTTATTTTTGATATCAAAAGGTGTCATGTTAATTTGTCATCCATTATATATGCCCCATCAAATTAATCCATATATTCACAACATAATATTTAATCTTCTATATTCACATGAAATGCTATTAGTCTACACTATTAACAATAAAAGTACAATACCATAATACAACTTCAACAACTTCAACTAAAGTTGAAGTAGTTTCAGTTGTTTCTACTACAATAAAATTTCCTCATAAAAGACTTTATTAAACGTTTAACCCTAATATATAACAAAAAACTAAAATTTATATTATTTTAAATTTAATTAAATTTAAGCTTTAGCAATAGCTTTTTTAACAGCAAATCTTTTTTGTTTTTTTAAAACTAAAACTTGAAATCTTTCAAAATCAGTTAAAGCTCTACGTTTTTCTCTTTGAGCAATTTTTTTAGCCCATGATGATGATGACCATTTGTTTGCAATATCAGCAGCTTGGAATTTTTTAGAAACAATTGGAGATCTAGCACCTCTTGGTAAAGCAAATGATAATGGGGTCAAGACAACGTGAGCTAATGAGATAGCTTGTCTAGCAACACCGGTGGTTGGACCATCAATTAAAGCCTGTAAAATAATTGTTAGTAATTTATTCAATATAATTATGTTATATGGATATGGATATGATATGAATGGGGGTGTATTTTAATCTTTGTAACGTGGGAGTTCTATTATTGTACTTGTAATGATATATAAAGATCCATCACTTTGACATTAACTTTTGTTGTACTACGTGTATGCCTTTTCAATAATTTTTCAATAGTTCCCAATAAATTTTTCCATATAATCCCCTAATTCAATAGTCATTGTATAATCTTTGTACTCATTATTGTGATATCTTGTCCTGTATTCCTTCATATTCTTCTATCTCATTTCTTTCATTCATTATCATATTCCCATATCCATCTTTATTTCTTCATCTATTCAAACATACTCTTTTGTGATCAATAATTTCAACAATAGTGGCTAATTTACCAGCGTATTGACCTTTGTTAACAAGGACGACACGACCGACTTCGACCAATCTCCAGTTACTAGCTTTGACAGATGTTTCAGTAGACATTGTGTTGATGCTTCTATGCTTGTAATGCTAATATATTAGAAAAACGTATAAGCTATAGTAATTTTGAATATACTTTTGAGAATTTGATGAAAAACCCAATCGAGAGTGTATGGATGTGCTGCGCGAAACGAGTTTGAACTTTGTGATTGTGCGAAGAATTTGTCTGTCAATTTGAGGAGTGTCACAATAAAACTTTGAGTGGCGGAAGAAAAACTGGGAAATTTTGCGTGGGTTGTGGAAAACTGTGACTGTGGATAATAGTGGTGTGTGGGTGGGGAAAGCCCTATGTATACATCACATGACTAAAATAATATTTCCAATGCCCTAATTTTATACAATCTTTTTTCATTCTCACTATAAATTAAACAAATGAAAACTTTTACTATGAAGAATTGTTTTATTGAAGTACAGAATTAACAAACTAGAACAATGATACAATGATCCATTAAAAGGTATGTCAACCAGCAACAATATCTCAATATGATGATATAATTTGCGATTTAGTTCTAATAAACTCGAAACACGCCTAGTTTCATTTATGGGTTATTAGTTTCAATGCAACCAATTATTTAGTCTGATTGAAATGATAAATTATTTGATTTAAGAGTATATAACTAACAAATAACCAGTGAGTGATGATAACAACAAAATAGTTGTCTATATCAGTTTATCGGGATGAAAACAGTTCGCCTAATCTTGATTTCCATGAAGATTAAATAACTTTACACCAAGATCTACTCTGAGCATTAAATTGATATAGAAGTACATTGTAATTGATTGATTGTATATACTAACCAGTAATAGAATGGATATATAAGTAATATTGAACCGTAGATTAACATGAACTTGGTTGTAACAACGATAATGGACTTTTTGTACTAGTTCTTATATTATATTGTATCTTTTCTCTTGTATATTATTCTCACTTTCTAGTGCTGGCCATCGCGATTGTTGATAAAAATGATATCCTCAAAACCAAAACATCAACAAAGCAAGTGAACTAGATCAACAACAAACGACTGTCAACAAGTACCATTATCAAGCTATACTCATTTAAATAATACTTTAATACCACCACAATGTCTCGTTATGCTCAAGTGGAACAAGATGTATGTATTATTGTCTATATATTACTGATCTCGCCCCTATATTAACACACATACAGAACAATGCAAGATTTGATGAATTAGCAAATAAATTATCAATATTTCGTGGTATAAATAATGATATACTTTCATCTGCAGAAAATACATCAATAATAGATACTTTAGAATCACAATTTTCAGCACTATCATCAAATATCAAGAAAACTTCTGGTAATTTAACAAGATCATTACAAAGTGGTAATTCAATTTGGAAATTTGTTGGTTTAACTTTATTAGGATTTTTTATATTATATACAATTTATAAAATAATATATTAGGGTTTATTGGTGTTCATATGGAGTTTTATTGATTTATATTTTTACCTAATTTATAATTACCAATTGCTTTACCCCAATTCATTTTTGATCTTGTTATTGGTAATTGTCTTCTTAATTGTTTAAAAATTAATTCATTTAATTTTAAAAATTCTTTATTTAAAGAAATTTGTAAATCATCTTCAATTTTTTTAATTGATTTGACTAAATTCTTTGGATCAATTTCAATACTAGTCTTCTTTGATTGTAATCTAACATTCCCATCTTCATAATAATGAACATCAATATTAATCTCACCTTTACCATTGGATAAATCATATTCAGATCTCCACGATCCTGTCCAATAATTTCCAGGACTTGATTTATCCCCCTTAAGAATTAATTTATCATTATATATTAAATATTCACCATTTTCATATTGTTCATTTAAATAATCAATTAATTCCTTATCCCATTTATTTGGGGTTTTATCAATTGTTTCAATATCATATGCTTTGGAATTTAAATGATCAACTTTAAATTTTAAACCAATTTGTTCATTAATAAAACTATCATTTATTTGATTAATCTTGGATATGATTGAATTTTGTCCATCAACATTTATACTAATTCCCTTTTCTAAATTATACAATTCCAATCCTTTAGTTAATTCAACATCAATGTTTTTATCAACAATTAATCTAAGATCTATTCCCTTGTTAGTTAATCTTCAATATATCATCTATGTTCAACATACCTTCAATAACTTTTGATAACTATACAACAGTTAATATACAAATCTCAAAATAACAAAAGGGTCAAACATACCTCTCCTACAGGAGTATCTTTTAAAATATCTTTAATGATTTGTTCTAATGATGACATAATATACTTGTAGTATTCTTGGTTGGTATCAATTGATATTTCATTTAAAAGGGGGGTTGTATTTACGTATATGAATTCGATATCATATGGATATGATCCAACCAAATTCCGACTTTTTGGGATCAAAATTCCGACTATTGGTATAAACTACAAATTTAAATAATTTTAAATAAATGAATGAAATCGTTAAATTAATATAATAAACTATATTGATTGTATAATCAATATTGAGGATATGGAGGTCTTGAATTGTATGGTTGAGATTGTTGTTGTAAACTTTGAGCTAATGAACTTGATTGAGGTATTGGTGGAATTCCATTAGAATTTAATCCTTGTGGTGGTTGTTGTGGTGGTGGTACTTGTGATTGATATCCTGATTGTTGCGCTGATAGTGGTACTTGTGGTGGTTGTTGTTGTTGTGATTGTTGTTGTTGATACCCTGTTGTTTGTGGTTTTTGTTGTGATTGATATCCTGTTGTTTGAGGATTTTGATATTGTGGGAATGGATTTCCTGATTGATATGAAGGTTGACCTGTTGATTGTGGAATTTGTGGTGATTGTGTTACTTGTGGAATGGAATTTGATGAATTAGATTGTGGAACTTGTTGAACTTGTGGTGATTGAGGTAATGGAACTTGTGAATATTGATTAAAACTTGTTGGAGGAGGTTGAGAATATTGTCTTTTTAATGGATCAGTTAAATTTTCATATTTAATTGATGCATCTTTTAATTTCCCATGTAAATCTAATAATTCATCTCTTCTAATTCTATATTTTTCAATTAATCCACCTAATTCAGGTTTAATTATAATAGTTTCTTGATATAATTTTTGAAATTCATTTGATGATAACAAGTCATCTTGACCTTGATTCTGGGTTAATAAAGTTAATAATTTTTCAACCTTTCTTGATTGATTTAATATTAAAGTTTCTTTTTCAACTTCTAATTTTAATTCTTCAGGAGTTGGATCATATAATGGAGTTACATAATTAAAAGGAAATAAACCAATTTCTCCACGTAATGAACCTTTCCCCCAATCTTTATAAACACGATCTAATACTGTAATTATATCACCTTTACGGAAATGTAAATCTGCAGGATCTTGACTAAATGAATCATATAGAGCACGGACCCTAGAGAATGAAGGTTGTGCTTTTGAGATTGGTGGAGGTTGTTGAACTGGAGCTTGTTGTTGTTGTTGCTGTTGTTGCTGTTGTTGTTGTTGAATATCTTGTTGAGTTGGAATTGAAGCTTGATTATTTTCACTTAGGGATAATGCAATAGCAGCTTTCAAATCTTCTTCTTCTTTAATACGATCATTATCTAAATTTCTCTTTTGAGGTTTATCAGGAGGGAAATATTGTGAATAAAACTTTTCCACCTCGTTATTAGCATCTTGGATAGGTCTCAGTGAAGGATCATTTGCAAATGAATCAGATAATTGTTTGATAACTTGGACAATCTTGATTTTAATTTCCTTATGTACTGTGGGTTCTCTTAACTTATTCAACAATATTGAAGTGAATCCTCTAGTGGCAATTTCCTGTTTAACTCTTGAACCACAATTCTCAGCAATCGAAGTGAGTAAACTTAGTGATCTCAATTGAACATTAGCATCTCTTTGACCCAACCTTGTGGAAACCAATTGAATAACTTGTTTTGAACCTTCTTCCGGTTCTTCACCAACCAAGTCACAAACATCAAGAATAAACTGCCAATTGTCCGCCAACAACGTCGCATCCGTTGCCTTCTCCACTGCGTTCTTCAACTGTTCACTATAATCTCTGACCATGATATCCTGTTGAGCTTCTGTCTAATCTCTGTCTAGCTTCCCTTTGGCTTCCCTTTGGCTCCCTTCAACTCCCTTTAAATTTAAATCAACGCCTCTTTTTAAAACACGTAAAAGAATTCGCGAATTTTAACGGTTTCGGTTTTTTTTCAAATAGGGGAAATTTAAAATTTAAATGAAAACATCAACAAAATGATTTTAAGTACTTTGACTATTCATTGGTTTTAATTGATTGTTCAGCTGGTTATTTGTCTCAATGTCCACTTCCAGACCACAGTTCAACCGTCGCAGAACTTCTTCTGTCGGCAAAATCGACTTGGGTGATACAAGAGTACGTTCATTCTCAACTTCACGTACTTCACATCAAAGAAATGCTTCAGATTCAAGAGTTAATGAATTATCAAATTATTCCAAGACTGATTTAGAAATTATAACAAAAATTAAAACTGGTCTAGTTGAATTAAGTTATCGTCACACATGGGCTTTACCTGCTTTGATCTTGTTAATTGTTTATACTGCTTATTTCACTTCAGGTAATTATACAGAATCAAATTTTTTACACATGTTTGTATCAATATCATATCAAATCCCTGGTACAAATCAATATGATAAAGGTATTAAAGATTTAGCATTTGTGCTATTTTATATGATTTTTTTCACATTTTTCAGAGAATTTTGTATGGAAGTTATATTACGTCCCCTTGCACCAATTGTTGGTGTTAAAAAACCTTCTAAAATCAAGAGATTTATGGAACAATCTTATTCTGTTATTTATTCTGGTTTATCAGGTCCTTTTGGTCTTTATGTTATGTATGGAACTGATTTATGGTTATTTAGAACTGATACTATGTATGCAACATATCCAGATTTAACAAATGATTACTTGTACAAATTATTTTATTTAGGTCAAGCTGCATTTTGGTGTCAACAATCTGTTATCTTGATATTACAAGTTGAAAAACCAAGAAAAGATTTCAAAGAATTAGTCTTGCATCATATTGTTACAATTTTAATGATTTGGTTATCATATGTTTTCCATTTCACCAAAATGGGATTAGCAATTTATATTACAATGGATGTTTCAGATTTTTTCCTTGCAGTTTCCAAGAATTTAAATTATTTAGATTCTCCGTTAACAATGCCTTGGTTTATCCTTTTTGTTATATCATGGATTTATTTACGTCATTATATTAATTTAAAAATTTTATGGTCAGTTTTAACAGAATTTAGAACAGTGGGAGATTTTAAATTAAATTTTGCAACTCAACAATATAAATGTTGGATTTCATTACCAATTGTATTTGTATTAATTGGTGCTTTACAATTATTAAATATGTATTGGTTATTCTTAATTTTAAGAATTCTTTATAGATTTATCTTTGGTACTGGTGTTGTGGAAGATGATCGTAGTGATGATGAAAGTGAAGATAGTGAAGATGTTCAATTAGAAAATGATGGTGAAGAATTATCTAAAAATCAATCAATTCAATCACCACCAGAAATTACAATTGAATTTAAATCTGATCAAGAAAAAAAGAGTGAATAAGTCATCAACTCATAAAATCAATTTATTGCATACAACATATTCTCATAATCATATATCCCACATATAAAAAAAAACAAACATAAATCACATAAACACACATAAAAACATATATATATCAGCTAATTTTTACCCATTTTTTTGTTCAACTTGTCTTATAGAAGTATATATCTAATTCAAACTTAATCTTAATAATAATTTATAATATAATTGTCGTTGTAGTTCTTCTACATGGATTATATCGTATGTACCATTTATTTTTCTATTTACAAAACTTATATGAATGTATAAAGATATCTAATTTGATTCAATTTCTTTTGGTGATTTACCCTTTTGTTTATCTTTTAATCTTTTTTCAAAATCTTGTTGATTTTTTTTATAATTTTCAATCTTATTAATACGTTTCTTTGCACCCATTTCTGCAGCTTTTGATAAAATACCAACAATTAAACTTATTGAACGAACTGAATCATCATTACCTGGAATTGGATAAGTAACAAGACTTGCCTCTGAATCAGTATCAATTAATCCAATTGTTGGAATTCTTGATTGTATACATTCATTAACCAAGACTCTATTTTCAGTTGGATTTAAAATAACAACTAAATCAGGTTTAACAATGGCTTTTTCTTCATCTGCATTTAATGAACGATTTGTTGGAGAATTTAATAAATCAACTTCATGACGTGACCAAGTTGAAATTTCTGTACAATTTGTTATAGTACCAGGAACCCATCTTGTTGCCACGTAATAACCATTTGATCTTTTTGCAGCTAATTCTAAAGGTCTTCTTAAATTTTCTCTTGTACCAACATACAAGATAATACCACCACGTTCTGAAACTCCTTCAATAATCTTGGAAGCACGACGTAAATATGTTAAAGTTTGTTCTAAATCAATAATATGGATTCCTTTATATGAACCAAGGATAAATGGTTGATTTGATGATCTATATAATGAAGTTGATTGACCTAAATGAACACCTGCAGCTAATAATTTTGAAATTGAAACATCTTTAATAGTTGCCGGATAAAAAACATCATGATGTGGTAAATAAACATTTTTTAAATTAGAACCTAATTGATCAACATTTGATTTAGAATGTTGACGACGTAAATATAATTCTTGATTTGTATAAGATTCTTCCTTGGTGGAAGGTATTAAATATGGGAAATCTTTATTTGGACCTTTTTGAACTTGAACAGATTTTTCTGGTAAAAATTTATCATTAACTAAATCATCAAATAATTTTTGTAATTCATTTTTTAATTTTTTATTTTGTGCTAATTTAGAATTTAATTCATTTGATGATCCATTATTAAATAAAATATCAATAATTTGTTGATCAATTTTTTCAGCTTCTTCTTTTGGAACTTTAACAAAACTTGAATCTTCAACAATTTCTTGATTTGGGGTGCCTGCGGCTAAAGTTTGTTCATTAACTGGTGAATCTTGAACAAGTTGTGGATTTATTGTTTGATCTTTTGTTATAGTATTTAATCTTTTTATACTAGTTGATAAATGACGAATGGGCGCTGGGAATTTGTTAGAATTAAATCAATAAAGAGTGGAAATAAGAATATACTCACTTAGTCTTCGACTGAACATGCTCATCTTGTAAAAATAATCTATTAGTTCTTCACAAGTCTTCCTTTTTCTATTTGAAACTTCTTCAATATTTCATTTTGTTTATTTCAATAATTTTCCAATTTTTTCAATGGGTATTAATTTTCGCGAATTTCGATGATTTTGATTTTTTTTACCCGGTGTTGAACTTTTCAAATAATTAACTACTATAAAAGAATTGAAACATCACTTGAAAAAGTGGTTATTCTGAGTGGTCTCTGAGTGATCTAAGTGGTCTTAGTGGTTGGTTATGCAGTTGTTTACTGGTTCTTTTGACCAATTTGTGGACAAAATAGTTGGATTACGAGAATCTGCAACATTAATTATATGTAATATTGATCAAGATTTATCAATACTTCCAAATTTTCATAGATCAAGTATTGAATATCTTTATAATTCGAAATTTGTTGAAGTTATTTATATTGATACTAGTCAGAAATTATTAGTTTATTTGGCTAATCAAGAATTAGAACAATTGAATGGTGAAATTAATGGTAATTTATTTATTTGGGATTTACCATGTCTTGATTTAATTTGTTCAAAATTATGTAAATTGAATAATATTTGTTTAATTGGTTCATCAGGTAATAATCCTGAATTCTTATCAATGATTGAAAAATGGATACGATGAATTGAAAATCAATTTTTGAACCCCCAGAAAAAGAATTTATTTTTATTTTAAAATGCTATTATACAAATATGATCTATACTCAAGTGAATTTATTTTTCTTCCATATTAAGATCAACAATTTTAATTTCAGATGTTTCATTATCATAATAAGCTTTAACTTTAACTTTAAATTCAGATGCAGCAATACCAAATTGTTTTAAAATTAAAGCTTGACGAACATCTAAAACATCACCTTTATTAACAACATGATAAGGTTCATTAATTGTGATTTTACCAGCTTTAATCTTTGTTGGGATTTTAAATTTATTTCTCATTGTTTCTTCTAATGAATGTGACATTGGAACATCATCTTCAATTGATATTTGACCACCTCTTGAATAAATAATACCTTCAGGTATAGTGAAATCTATTGGTGATTTAGATTTAGCACGAGAATAATCTTGTTTAGTATATGCAGCAAAATATGAACTTGTTGTTTCAACATCTTCATTTGTAAATAATAAACCTGTAACACCATCAGCTAATTTAGAAAATTTTGATAAATTTTCTTTATATTCATCTTCAATTTTATCACCAAGTGCTTTTTCCAAAACACGACGTTTACCTAAGATTAATTTTGATCCAACCCAATCAGATCTAATATCTTGTAAAACTGGAGTTCTAACATCATCAAGATAAAATAACCAAACAAATCTATATGTATCTAAAGCTTCTCTAACTTCATCAAAGATTCTATTTTTATTTTCTCTACCTTTTTTATCGGTTTGAGCTAATGTCACAAGTTTGGAACGTTTTGATCTAGGCATATTGGTATGATTTACTTATATTTGGTATAATTAATAGTTTGTATATAAAATTTTAAAATATGAGTATAAAAGTTTTTTTTACTATCTCATCGGCAAGGGCATGCTAACCATTTCCTGATTCGGAATGGGTATTATATGGGTAAATGATGGAAATTCATGATTTTAATAGGAATTTATCGAAAATTCATGAAATGAACATTATAATGATAATTATCAGTGTTTAATTACCATATTTGTAAGTTTTCAGTAGTATTTCCCACCCTTTTACCACTATTTCCCACCAATTTCTCATATTTCCCATACAAATTTATTTCATTTTCTGGCCTTGCAAATTAAAAGATCACAAAAAAAAGTATTTTGTTAAGCGCTTTCAAATAAATTCACCATGGACGCCACCTTGGAAAACCAAAACAAGTTGAGAAATTGAATTGAGACTTGATTTGTATTGTGCTTTAATTGCTGCTGGGAAATAAAAGTTGTTGATATCATACTTGGTGTTTTAAGAGCATTTGTTTTGCTTGTGTGTTTTTTCCTGGGAGTTTTTTGGTTTCTCGTTGGTGTATTTTTGGTATTGAGAAGTTATCATATTTGACATTTATCATTGATTGATTGGTGATATTACAATTGTGTTTCTATTAAAAGGTCATGGGGAAACCATCGTCTAGTAAAGATGCCTTGGGTGCATCTTCCAAAAAAAAGGCCAAATCAATCAATCATGATGGTGATGATGATGTTATTATGAAAGGTACAGAAAATAAAGAAGTACAAAATAATCAATCAATTGATACAAAACATAAAGATAAAAGTATTGAAGATGATGATCATGAGAATAATGATAACCATGATGAAGATGAAGAACATTCAAGTCTGTTAAGATTATCTGAAAATTTTAGAAGATTTTCTGAATCACAAAGAGAATTAAGTCATAATGATGATGAAATAAATGAGCATCATCAAGATGAATATGAAGATGAAGATCTTATGAGATCAATTCATAGACATCAATCAACAAATCAAGAGAGTGAAGAAGATGATGATGAAGATTTAGACCTTGCTGATGATGATGCTATAAATGCTTTCCGTTCTCTGGCAAATAGATTAAGTCAAGCTCAACAACCTGGTTCTTCATCTTCAAGAAATGATGACCATGATGAAGATAGATCTGGTCGTAATACTCCTGGTTCAGCAAATCAAAATCCTGATCAAGTTAGAAATGCTCTGGCTGAAAATATGGCTCGTCTGTTCCCTGATGCTATGGGTCTGTTTGGTGGATTAGGTGGACAAAGTCAAGCAAGTCAAATTAGAGGTTTAATTGAAGGTTTGAAAAATCGTGATGATTCATTTTTAGTCTTGGAAACTTTAAGTGAATTAAGTGAACGTTTACTGATGATGAATGCACCAATGGCTGAACGTGAAATTCCATCTTTTCAATTAGCTGAAGCAATTGTTGATGTTTTAAATGAACCAAGTTTCATGGAAGAATTAGAATTACAATTGGTTGCTTGTAGATGTTTATATAACTTTTTGGAAGTTAATCCTGATTATATTCATGCAGCTGTTTCAAATGGTGCTATTGAAGCTTTACAATCAAAATTATTAGAAATTAGTTATATTGATTTAGCTGAACAAGCTTTACAAGCTTTAGAATTTATTTCAAGATTTGCAGGTTCACAAATTCTTAGAAAAAATTGTTTAATGTCATGTTTACAATATTTAGATTTCTTCACAATTCATGCTCAAAGGAAAGCAATCACTATAACTGCAAATTCTGTTAAATATATAAGAGAATATGAATTTGAATTAGTTGAAGATATTTTCCCAATTTTACAAAGGATTGTTATTGAATTTCAAGATCCTCAAGAATTAGATGATTGTTGGTTAGCAATTTCAAGAATTATTAAAGCATTTAGATCTTCAAAATCATTAACAAAATTAGTTAGTAGTGAATTATTAAATCAAATGGTTACTGTTATTTCAAATCCTGATACAAAGTTAGCAACAAATTTAAGATTAATTAAAACTTTATCAAGTTGTGCAAGAAATGATGAATTATCAATTAAAATTTTACAAAGTGATAAAGTTGGTGAATGTATTATTGGTTCATTATCAAAATATAAAAAATTAAATGATCAATCAAATGCAAGTAATTCAACTGTTTCAATTGAAGCATTAATGGCTGCACCAAAAGAATTAATTTTGTCAATTTTAGATTTTATTATTAATTTATTACCATCTGAATCAAATTCAATTTTAACTTTTGAATTCACTAAAAAAGATTATTCATCAATTAACAAATCTTATAATGAATTTATTAATTCAATTTATCCATTATTAATTAATATTTATTCATCAACTGTTGTTTATGAAATTCGTCATCGTTGTATGATTTCACTTATTAGAATTGTTTCATCATTAAATGATATTAATATTCTGAAAAATCCTTCACAAGTTATTAATTTATTAGCTTCAATTGTTATTCAAAATAAAAGTATTATTCGTCAAAATAAAAAAGATTCAAAACCTTATATGGCATTATTAACTTCATTAATCTTGACTTATTCATTAACTGAAAAAGATCATAATAGATTTATAAAGGAATTTGAACGTGAAGGTCTTATTGCTGATACTTCATCATTATTAGAAATTTTAAGATCTGATGAAAGAGCAACAACTAATACAACTGAGAATAAGAGTGATGAAAATAATAAAAATGACGATAATAATGACAATGATAATGATAATGATAATGACCCATTTGGTGATGATAATGATGATGATGATGACGATGATGATGAGGATAATGATAATGAACAAGATGGAAGTGAAGGAAGATCTGAAATTGATGAAGATGATGTTGAAGATGATTATGATGAAGAATATGATAATGAACAAGAAAGATCATTCTTATACAATGTTTCAGATCAAGCAATTTTCAAAAGTTTAACAATCCCACAACTTTTAAAACATTTAATTAAATATGCATCTGATATTGAACAATCATATTTATCTAAAAAGGCATCTGGAAATTCTAAATTGGAACATTTAAGACTTTTAGATGAAATTAGTGCTGTTTTAAAAGATGATTTACAAATTAAAAACTTCACACCTAATGATTGGATTCAAACTTGGGAAAATTTACAAAAAGCATTAGGTGATGAAAAAAATTCAATTTCAAGTTTTGAATTAATTTCATCAGGAATTATTGAAATTTTATCAGAATTATTTCAACCAAATAAATTTGAATCTGAATTTCAAAATCATATATGTCGTGAATCATTTTTAAAAATTTTCAAAGATGAATCATTTGAATTATTAATTGTTAAATTACAAGAAGCATTATCAAGATCAGAATCATTTGAAATTTTACATTGTGGACTGAATAGTAATGAAAATAGAGTTCAAGCTCTGGGTAAACAACTGAAATTAAAATTACATTCTGATAATGAACTAGATGAAGAATTGCAAAATTGTGGTCTAAATTCATTTGTTGCTTTGATTCATGCAATTTCATCATTTGGAACTATAAATGAATTTATTTATCAACGTATTAGACAAAAAAGATTACTGAGATCAGGACTGTTCAGTGAAGAAAGAAATATTAGAAATTTATCAAATGAATTTCACTTGGAATTTTCAATTGATGGAGAAATAATTCCATATGAATCAACAATTTTTGGTGTATTGTTTAAAAATGGATTAGAAAAAAATCCAAATTTTGATGCAAATCAATTTTGGAATCAAACTCATCAAATTGAATTTAAAAAAATTGATGGACCATCACCAAAAAATTCGACATTTGATGATAGATATACAGAATTTGATGATGGTGAATCAGATTCCAATAAACTTGATCATCCAATTACAATTAATATATTAAATTTATTGAAAATTCTAAATGAATTTAATGATTCAAATTCAAGTTTATTTTTAAATTTTAAGTTAACCGCCAAATTAAATAGACAATTAGAAGAAGCATTAATTGTTGTTGGAGGTATAATGCCAACTTGGTCAGTTAATATACCAAGAAAATACCCATTTTTATTCCCAATTGATACAAGAATTTTTTTCCTTCAATCAACGTCATTTGGATATTCAAGAATAATTCAATTATGGAACTCAAGAATAACTCAAGATAGAAATGGAGAAAATGAAGATAATTCAAGTTTCAATGGACAAATTCCGCTGGGGAGACCATCAAAGCAAAAACTGAGAGTGGATAGAAGTCAACTGTTTCAAAGTTTACTGAAAATTTTAGATAAATATGCTTCAAGACCAAGTATATTAGAAATTGAATTTGTTGGAGAAGCAGGTACAGGACTGGGTCCAACATTGGAATTTTATTCAAATGTTTCCAAGGAATTTTTAAGAAAACAATATGGACTTTGGAGAGATGAAAATGATCATAATGATTATATTTCTAATGCAAATGGATTATTCCCTGTTCCAATTAGAGAAAAATCAATTAATAAAATAAAAGATCATTCAAAATATTTTAGAAATTTGGGTAAATTTATTTCAAGAGCATTAATTGATAATAGAATTGTTGATTTCCATTTCAATAAGGTTTTTTTCGAAATTGCAAGTTCAATTGTAAATAAACAAGAAATACCAAAATATATTTTATATAAGAAATTAAAAATTGTTGATCCACAAATGTTTAAAAGTTTAGATTATATGATGAAGAATAAACATCAATTATCAAATTTGACTATTAATTTTACATTACCAGGATATAATAAAATTGAATTAATTCCAAATGGGACAAATATTTATGTTGATGAAACAAATTTTGATAAATATATTGATAAAATTGTTGAATTTACATTAGGTGGTAATGTTAAAAAGCAAATTGAAAGTTTTATAATTGGATTTTCTGAAATTTTCCCATATTCATCATTAACAATTTTTTCATCAAAAGAATTAGTTGAAATGATGGGTAATGCAAATGAAGATTGGTCATATGAAACAATTATTGGATCGATTCATGCAGATCATGGATATACAATTGATTCACCATCAGTTCAAAGATTAATTGAATTTATGACTAGATTAAATAAAACTGAAAGAAGATTATTTTTACAATTTTTGACAGGATCACCAAGATTACCAATTGGTGGATTTAAGATGATGAGACCTGTATTTACAGTTGTTTTAAAACATGGAGAATCTGGATTAAAATCTGATGATTTCTTACCAAGTGTAATGACATGTGCAAATTATTTAAAATTACCAGATTATTCAAGTCAAGGAATTTTAGAAGAAAGATTATTAAAAGCAATTCATGAAGGTGGAGGAGCATTCTTATTATCTTGATCTTGATTTGTATAGTACATATATCTAAAATTGAGCTTATATATGAATTGTTTGTAACAATTATTTTTTGTAAATCTGATATAAATTTCTTGTTGGTGCAGGTACAACCGGTACAAGAAAACGGTTTTTCAGCAGATCTTGAGAATGTTGGGAGTTTAGATCAGCTAGTAATTTGAAGACATGGAGACAATTAAGGAGTAGTCAGATACGGACTAAGATAATACCAGTATCTAGCCATTGTATCTTACCAATATGACCAACTCCATTCCAAATAAATACTCATACAAATCCATTTTCTTTGATAGTAATCTTTGTAGTTTTGTATGTATTCTCAAAACAGTCCGGGTAAATTTCGCGCATGGATTTTCATTCGCATTCTCTGTTGACGCTTAAAATAATAAACAACAAATCGGTAAACAATTGAGAATTTAAGCTGTTTAACTAGAATTGAGAATTGAGATTCCAAAGGTTCATTGCACATTCCACAGGCTGTTATTACTCGTTGCTCGCTGCTCGCTGCTTCTTCTGCTGTTTGTTTGTTTCCCATTGCTGAGAAAGAGACTGTTTTATGCGTGTTTGGTGGCCGTTTTATTCATTTTAAATTAGTTCAATTATATTTTACGTGGCTAAAGAAAGTCTTTGCGCTTTTTTCTTCAGGATCACTTTCATTCATTTCTAGAAGGGTATTACTTTATTGATCAAGTTCTTAGAAACAGTTCCAAAGTTTAGATCTTCAAGTTTATTAATCTGTTTGAAGATACATCAATTAATACCTCAAAAAATTTAAATTACTGAAACCAGTTAGAGAAATTGTTCATATCCAGAGTTTATCAATCATTTAGTACTATCAATACTGCTCCTAGTTTCTGGTGACATTCTCATACTTTCAATTTTTGCCACATTTATTGTTTACATTCACAATTATACCAATTCTTTTTACACAGATTTATAGAGAAAGAAAGGAGAATTCAATTTAATTACAAAAATGTCTGACGAAGCTTCCACTATTAATACTTCATTCCATAGTACTTTATCAAATAATACTCCAAGTTCAAATAATGAATCAAATGAATTGAATTCATCATCAAAAAGATCTTCAATACTTCAAAATAAAAATTCTTCAATTCACTTGGCTACACCAAAAGTATCAAAGTCTCAATTGGATGCTTTAAGTGCTTCACCTGGTTCTTTACCACGTCATCCGGGTACTTTAGATGTCACTGCTTTAGCAAGTTCAAGAAATTCCCTAATTGATAATGATGAAATTGATTCAATTAAAGGTGATCAAAATAATTTAATTTTAAATTCCGATACTAAAAGTATTTCAAATGGAAATGTTGATCAAATTCAAAATAATATCAATAATAATATAGAAGATCTAGAAGATCCTGATAATAGTAAAACTTTAGATCCTGGTAAAAGAAAACAAGATCAAAGAGTTAATGAATTAATCAATTCTTTAGATGAACCAATTGATTTTAAAAGAGTTAGTACAATGTCAACATCAAGCTCAACAAATTCTTCTGTAAGGAGTTATAATTCTGTTCAAGAAGATAATTCAAATACAAATGATGATATAACTGTTGGAATTGTTAATACTGCCACAGCAACAACTTTCCAAAGAGCTACTCCAACTACAAGACAAATTAATAATGAATCACCAAATCATAATGAATTAAAACAAAATAAAAGTTCAAATAATATAATTGAAGAATTGAATCTTGAAAATGAACCAAGAATTAAAGAAGATAATGATGAAGAAGGTACAATAACTTCAAAATCTCAAATTAATGAACAATTTTCTCAAATTTCAATAAATAACAGTAATAATAAGAATAATACTTCAATTTTCAATCATCAAAATGATCATTTAAAAGAAAATTCACATGATTCAGATGACCAATTCAAACAAAAAACATTAAAGGATCCTGTTAAAATTGAACCTTATCAATATAATAACAAGCGTGATACTGAATTAACAAATTCAACAATTGATACAACTGATAATTCAATAGATTCAAGAAATAATGATGATGATAATAATGACGATGATGATGATGATGATCAATATAAATCACCTTCACCAAATGGTGAAAGTACACCATTACAAACTTCAAGTATAAATTCCAAAGAAGAAAATCCAGTTGAAAATGAAGTTGAACAAAATCATATTCAACCACCTCCAGTTATTAAAACTTCTTCTCATAATGTTGGATCTCAAGAATTACTTGCCCCAGATGATAATAATGATATTCCACGTGCTAGTGGTACTAGTGCAACAGCTGGAAATTTAACAGCTTCATCATTTGTTTCCACTGCAACAGGTTCAAATTTTGAACAAAAAATTATTGATTCATATGGTGGTAATGCTTCATCATCAGATAATTTACCATCATCATCTAAATATTCAGAAAATTTCGATGATGATTTGAAAAATTTCGAAAAACCAATTGCAACTTCTTCAAATGTTAATATACCAAGTCTTGGTTCAAGTGGTACAAATTTAAGTGAAGAAGTTGGTGATATTACTGTTAGAGAAGAAGATGAACGTGATGTTGAACAAGATGATTATAATCAAAAATCTCAACAAACTCGTGATTATAAATTTCAAAGTACTTCAAGTTCATTTGCTTCAAAGAATCATAGTTATATAACAAATAAATCTTCAGATTCTTCCTCAATACCCACACCAAAAATGATTTCAACTCCAAAAGCTCCACAACAACAAGAACCACAACAACAATCAAGATCAACTTCAAATCCAACAACAACTGCAACTCCAATTCAACAATCACATTTATCAAAAACTGGTATAAGGTCTGTAAGTTCACCATTTACATCAAAAAGTTCACTTGATAATCAAAACTTATCACAATCTGGTAAAAAAAGAAAAAGTGGAGGTAATAAAGTTAAAGGAGTTTTTTCAAATTTTGTTAATAGTATGAGAAGTAATAGTTCAAATTCTCATCAAGATATAAATAAATATTCAAGTGGTTCATCATCTTCAAGTTTAAAAATTTCTACTCCTTATGATGCAAAACATGTTGCTCATGTTGGTGTTGATAAAGATGGTCAATATACTGGGTTACCAGAAGAATGGGAAAAATTATTAACATCAAGTGGTATTACTAAAACTGAACAACAACAAAATCCTCAAGCTGTTATGGATATTGTTGCATTTTATCAAGATCAAACTCAAAATGCTGATAAAGAAGTTTTCAAGAAATTTAATCCTCCAAGCTCAAAATTAGTTTCAACTCCTTCATTTAGAACTCCAAAACCTACTCAACAAGGTCAATTTTCATCAACTTCTAATACAACAACTACACCTCAACATCAAGGTTTATCAACACCACAACAATATCAATCATCTGCTTATAAACCTTCAATTACAACATCATCACCTGAAGCATCAAGAGATCGTCAATTCATTCCTTCAAGACCTCCACCAAAACCTCCTCAACAATCATCAATTAATGCAACTCCAAGTATTGTTTCTCCATTATCAAGATCAAGATCTGTTATGAGTCAACAAACAAAATCACCAATTTCAACACCTCATCAACAAAATTCACATTCATCAATTGTTCCACAACAACAAAGATTTACAAATCAACATCATCAAACGCCTCAAACACCACAATCTTATCATCAATCACCAAAACAACAATCACAACAACCACAATCACAAATACCTCATCGTGCTCCACCTCCAGTACCAAAACATACTAATGAAATAATACCTGATGAACATCCAATTGAGAAATCAGAACAACCTCAACAACAACAACAAAATAATATTAATCCACCACCAATTCCAAAAGATCAACCAGTACGTGATCCTCAACAAGCTGCAATAAATGCACAACGTAAAAAAGAAGAAAAGAAACGTAAAAATGCACAAATTTATGCAAAATTAGCAACAATTTGTTCTGAAGGTGATCCATCAAAAGTTTATAGAAATTTAATTAAAATTGGTCAAGGTGCTTCTGGTGGTGTTTATACAGCATATGAAGTTGGTACAAATCTTAGTGTTGCTATAAAACAAATGAATTTAGAACAACAACCTAAAAAAGAATTAATTATAAATGAAATTTTAGTTATGAAAGGTTCAAAACATAAAAATATTGTTAATTTTATTGATTCATATCTTTTACGTGGTGATTTATGGGTTGTTATGGAATATATGGAAGGTGGTTCATTAACTGATGTTGTTACACATAGTGTTATGACTGAGGGACAAATTGGTGCAGTATCAAGAGAAACTTTAAAAGGTTTACAATTTTTACATTCAAAAGGTGTTATTCATAGAGATATTAAATCTGATAATATATTATTATCAATGAATGGAGATATTAAATTAACAGATTTTGGATTTTGTGCACAAATTAATGAAGTTAATTTAAAAAGAACAACAATGGTTGGTACACCATATTGGATGGCACCAGAAGTTGTTAGTAGAAAAGAATATGGACCAAAAGTTGATATTTGGTCATTAGGTATTATGATTATTGAAATGATTGAAGGAGAACCACCATATTTAAATGAAACTCCATTAAGAGCATTATATTTAATTGCAACAAATGGTACACCAAATTTAAAAGATCCAGATTCTTTAACAAATTTAATGAGAAGATTTTTAAATTGGACTTTACAAGTTGATCCTGAATTAAGAGGTAATGCTATTGAATTATTAAATGATGAATTTATTTTACAAGCTGATGATGTTAGTTCATTATCTCCATTGGTTAAATTAGCTCGTATGAAGAAATTATCTGAAAAAGATGATGAATAAAATTTTAAAAATGGACAAAATTTATATATATAGTATATTATATATGATTTAATTTCAATTACATGTTAATAATTATTTATACGAAATCTTTGTAAATTATTGATAAAAATTATAAAACTCCTATATATATGATTTAAACACCCAAAATTAATTAATTAAAATAATACAAAATTATATATAATACAAAACACATGTAAATCACAAATTAAATCATAAAAAACAAAACAATCCAGAAAAAACAAAAACACTAAATAACAAGCTAATAATAAAGAAATAAAACTTAAGGAGCTAATTCATCTTATTATAGAAGATCTGTTAAATTAATTTCCTTTCTTTTTATTCATAATTTAGCTAACGCTAATTGATTATTCTTCTTCATCATCTTCATCCCAATCATCATCAGATTGACCTCTTGTTTGAACAAAAAACAAAGAAGCATCATTTTTACCTTTATTAACAAATTGATAAAAATTTCCCATTGGAATTTCAAGTGAACAACCTTTTTTAATAATGAATACATTTCCTGATAAAGTAACTTCAATAACTCCTGAGATACAATAAAATACAAAATAAGTTGTATCTGTTCCCTTTAATGATTTTATACCACCTGGTGGTATTAACATCATCCCCGTTGCAATAAAATCTCTATTTTTATCAAATAATATAGCTAATTTAAAATTATCAGTTGATGATTTAACTTCTGATGTATAAGTTTCAGTACCTGGACCCCATGCAATTAATCGATCATTTTTTAAATCTGATCCATGTCCTTCAAATGCTTCAATATTTAAATAACCTTTTCTAAACCATTCTGTACCTGGTAATTTTGATATATCATTTTCTTCTTCTTCATCTTCCTCTTGTTCTTCATCATCTTCAAAAATTGGTGGTTGATATGTTTGTTTTTTATATCTACCACCACCAGGTGTTGTTGGATTACTTCTTCCATTAACTCTATTCTTAGAACTTGCCCTGGATGGTTGTCTTGATGTATGTCTTGATGAAACTTTTGATGAAGATCTTGAGGGTAATGGATCAACTTTTTCATCAATTGTTATAATTTTTTTCAAAGTTGGTACATAATCACCTTTAGATTTTTCATAAATTGCCTTTTCATTTCTCCAAAATGCTAATGGTGGGATTCTAACTCTTGAAGATCTTCTTGTTGGTTGTTCTTTTAATTCTTTATTTCTTGATTGAGATCTTGATTCTTGTTCTTTTCTTAAACTATTTATATCTATAATATGTTCTCTTGAATTTGGTGAATTTGGAACATTATTTCTTTGAAATTTATTTACTCGATCATTTTTATTAATTGATGGTTGTTGTCTTGATCTTTTTGGTGATGATGCTTGTTGTTGTTTTGTAGGAGGTCTACCTCTTCTTTTTGGAGGTTGAATTTGTTCTTCACTATCATCAGAATCATATTGATTTGTATTCTTATTTGATTGAATTTGATCTTCATCAGAATCACTTATTACTCTATCATTATCAATTTCTTCTTCTTCTTCTTCAGTGGAATAATGAGTTGATCTTGGTGGAGTTTTAAGTTTTGATGATTTTGATGGTTTTTTATTTAATGCAATTTTTTTTGAAATTGAAGAAATTGATTTTGAATTTGGTTTTGAATTTATTGGAGATTTATGTATAATTGAATTTCCTGATGATTTATTACCAATTGATTTTCTTGCTGAAGATCGTATAGTTAAATTTTTTTCTAATTCTTGTTGTCTTTGAGAATAAGATTTTGAATTTACATCAGGACTTGAACTTTCAGATGATACAAATAATGATTGTTTCGGTGTACCTGGTTGTTGTTGTTGTTGTTGCTGCTGTTGTTGTTGAGGATAAACTTTATTATATTCATCAATATCATTATTGGCATCATTACCAAAAGATATATCAAAATTTTGATTATTAAAGCTTTCATTATCAATCATTTTAATATCACCTCTTGATTCATCATCAATTTCCATATCATCATCATCTTGATCATTATTACTATAATCTTGAGGATTTTCAATTGCATCATCAAATTGATCACTGTCATCACTATTGTTATTATTATTATTATTAGATCTATTATTGAATATATCAGAAGTTGAATTTTGATGATTATTTGATTTAGTTGTTTGTAAGGGAGATTTTAATGGAGAATTTCTAATATTTGTTTGATTTGAATTTGAATTTGAATTTTGTGAAGGAGGGAATATTATTCTACCATTTGTATTTATATTATTGGGCTGATTTTGTTGATTATGATGTTGTTGTTGTTGTTGTTGATTTCTAATGGTTTGATCATCTTGAAAGAAATCATCAACATCTTCCATATTATGTTGATCTCTTTTAACATTTTCTTTTGCCTTTAATCCAGTTTTCCTAGATTTGACACCAATTTCTGAAAAATCCATAGTTGAAAGTGTATGGACTTGATGGAGTTGATGGGATTGAATGGATAAAGTAGTTGATATGGATTTGATGTAATATGATATGATTATTCAATTGAAATTATTATGATCAACCGTTAGGGGAAATAATAAAGGTTATAATATTGAAATCAAAGCACCAGCAAAGTGATAGTATAATTTTTGTTATGGGACTTTCTTCAGCAGTTTATAAGATACCCTTTTCTTCCCTATGCGATTGAATAGCACTCTGTTGTTGTCAATTGTGTTTATTTAATTCTTGTTTTTTCTTATTAAATTTCCATTGTTTTGTTTATTTTTGTTTATGTTTTCAAAATTTACGCGATGTTTTGAAAAATGAATGATTACGTAATTGATTATGTAATTTTAAATTCCTAAATTTAATTATGTAATATTCACGTGATTTATTGATTGTGTAATTATGACGTAATATTTTTGTTGATTACATAATATTTGTGACTGTGATTACATAATGCACACGTTGGCTATGATTTCTTTTATACTCAATAATAATTATTTGAAATAAAATGAAAATAAAATGAAAACATTGGGAAAAAAATAATTTATAGTTGAAATTTTTGGTGGATAAACAGTCAGATACTTGATATTCATACACACACTCATTCATATTCAATACGGTCTGTTGCTCTTGTTGCTGCTGCTGCTGCTCTTCTGTTCTTGTGTTCCTGCATTGATTTTAAACTTCAAAAGTCTCAGATATTAGACACTTTGTATTGGGCATTGAAAACTTCCATACTCAACTTCCATACCATCAACACATATGAAATAAATCATGTCTTCCACTCGCTCATTACTTCATAGGTTAACAAAAATAAATAATAAATTCATATTAGCAATTGTTATTTCAATTTCATTAATATGCTTATTAACAACGTCTTCATCAAGTTCAAATTCATTTTTACCAAATTTAAATACATCTCATCCAAATGTTTTACAAAAAATCAAATCAACAAGTGATAATAAACCAAGTAATATCATCACTGATTCTCAAGGTTATGAAATTTTAGATTATGATCGTGAACATATTAAATATATTTCACCTGAAATTATTGATTCAATTTATAATAATACTGATTTAGATTCTATTGATTGGACAAAATATGCTTATATTCTTTATGCAACTTCAACAAATCATATGTGTAATGCAATGATGATTTTTGCAGAATTAAGAAAATATGAAACTCGTGCTCAATTAGTCTTGTTAGTTAATAATAAATTCTTGGAAGATCCTATAAAACATGAATATGAATTTAATACTTTAACAAGTTTTAGTAAAAAATTTAATGTCTTGTTAAAAGCAACCCAAGTTAAAACAATGAATGATAAACAAGATGTTAATATTTGGATTTCAAGTTTTACAAAATTAATGGTTTTCAATGAAACTGATTATAATCGTGTTATTTATTTAGATTCTGATGCTATACTTCCTCAATCAAATTTAGATGAATTATTTTTCATACCACATACTAAATTAGCTTCTGTTACTGGATATTGGCTAACTCAAGAACGTTATGCTAAACAAGAATATTTAAAATATCATGCAAATCAATATAATTTTAAACCAAAATCTCAAATGGAAAAACAATTAGAAATGAATGAATTTATTTCTAAAAACATTTCACCTTTTCAAAATTCCAAGGGTTTTTTACCAATAAATAATAAAGCTAATGAAACAACAATGGAATTCAAGATTAATGAATTGAATTTCCAAAATAATTTATATAATAATTTACCAAATTTCCCATTTTTAGATGAATATTCATTTACAAATATTATAATGGTTATTGAACCAAGTAAAGAATTATTTCAACGTATTGAAGCATCATTTGATCAAAGAAAAAAAAATGAATTTGATATGGATATTATAAATTTTTATGTTTTCAAATTAATTAAATCATTAGAATTACAAAAAGATAGAGCCAAACCCCAAATTGAATCTTTGGAAGATTTTGATTCACCAGAATTTTTAATTTTACCTCATCAACGTTATGGTGTATTAACATCAGAATTAAATACTGTAACAGATCATAAATCATTTTTAGCAGATCCAATGGATCAACCATTTGTTTATCAAAAACATGGATTAATCACAGGGGATAATGAACCACCATATTATGATTTATCAGCAATTGAACAACAATCTGAAAAATTTATTCCAAATATTAAATATTTACATTATTCAGATTTACCAATACCAAAACCATGGATTGAAAAAAAAATTGAAGATAATTATATGTCAAATAGATTACGTTGTTCAAATCATAAAGATTTTATTAAAAATCCAAATAATAAAAGAGTTAAACCAAAAGGTACTACTAAAGATTGTTCCGCGGGGAAATATTGGGAATATAGTCATGAATTATTTGAAAAAATTAGAATGGATGTTTGTGGATTAAGATTAAAATGGGTTGATGGGAATGCTTATACAAATGATCAAAATTGATGAAAGAATATCATAATGTATATTTGATGGAAAGTTATAATAAAAAGGTATAAAAAAGGTATAAAAAAGAAATAAAAATGTCTCAATTCATATATAAAAAGGTATAAAAAGTTATAAAAGCTAAATATTCAATCAAAAATAGTATAAAAAGTATAAAAACTGTTATAAAATTGCTATAAAAAGTATATAAAATGGTTATAAAAATGGCTATCAAAAAGTATAAAATATAAAGTATAAAAATGGCTAGTATAAAGGTATATATAAAACTTTACAAAAAATATATATTCATAATCTTTTCAGTCCTATAACAACAAATCTTGCTTCTTCTTCCAAGAATTTATATCTAGATTTATTTAATAAAGCTTTAATACTTGCTCTAATCTTTGAAACACCTCCATCACTATGTAAACCTTTCCCTGTGATTACAATAAAAGGATCAGTTTCTCTTGCTTTAAATCCAGAATCTGATTTCCCAATTAATTCTCTTGCTCTTAATTCATCTTCCCACCATTCATCTAATGCAATCATTGTTGTCGCTTTTGCGTTTCCCACATGAAATCTATGTAAATCTAATCTATTATCTTTTTTGCAATTATTTAATTGATCTCTTCTTAATTTATATTGAAATTTATCTAAATCATTATCTAATTTAGTATATTTATATGAAGTTTGATATTTTGGTTTATTTAAAACTGGTTTAAATTTTGATTCTTGTAGTAAACTATTTGTTGTTGCTGTATGGAAATTTGATTGTTGTTGTTGTTGTTGTTGTAAAAGTTTTAAACTTTCTTCATCTCTAAATGTTTTGGAAACATTTTCTGGATTTTCAATAATTTTTAAAATTAAATTCATTGATTTTTGAACTGAACCTTTAAAATGAATTAAAACTTTTTCATTAAATTCCCAACTAATATTTAATAGTCTTGGATCTTCATTAATTAATGATGATAACTCTGCTAATTCTGTACTATTTTCATCTAATATATAAGGTTTTTCATCGATTGTTGTCTTGGTCTTGTTATTTTCTAATGATGTATATGCATTGAAATTGTTATTTCCTGTGTTTTTATTATTTGTTTGAACTCTACCACCTCTTGGTAATGATCTTTGTTTCAATTTTGATCTTTCTTTTTGTTGTCTTTCCTTTTCTTCTTTATCTCTTTGATTATATATTATATCAATTAAAGTTTCAGCCATTTTACGACCATTTTGATGATAATAACTTTTAACTTCATTTGTATCAGTCATTTCAGTTAATGACATAATTTCTGAAATTTCATCATTTATTGAAGCCCAAGTTCTATTTGATGATTCAACTTTTGAAGTTAATTCATCTTGGATTTTCAATTCATTTTGTATTTGATGGATAAAGCCTTGGTTTAATAATAGATCTGAAGCTTGTTCAAAGTCATAATTTGATTCTTTTAAAGCATTTGTTATATCTTCAACTTTATAATCTGGGAACATTTCAGCTAGGGATAATATTTTATAATCTTGAGAATCAACATCAACTTCTTCCTCCTCTTCTTCCTCATCATCACCATCATCAGATCCCTTTGAGCCCATACCACTGATTAAATATTCACTAGCTTTGTTTAAATCACCTTCACCATATTCTAAAGCATCAAAGATTTGACCCCCAGGAAATTCAGGGAAACATTCTTTCAAGATGTGATAGTTTGGATCAACATCAACAAAATCCAAAGGAGCAATATTACGCGGTGTGTTGTTTAAAGGTAGCTCATTGTGTTCAAATTTCCTTAACGACATCTTTATAGATAGATCTTGTTCTAGTTGTTGTATCTGTTGAAGTTTTGTTGATGTTTCAAAAGTTGAAACAATATTTTTTTTTTGTTTTTCTTTAGGAGTTCCATACAAAACAGAAAATACTCTCGTACGAGAACAGAATTTAACTATGGAGAACAAAAATGAGTTGATTTTAAACTACTGAGTGATTTTACTACAATTACTATAGAACCTTTCAATCCATGGTTTTATGTTATGATCATGTTCTCTTTTGAAGGTGTTCACTACTTATGTAGTCTAAATGGTTATGTTCGCTTGGTAGCTGATCCTATATAAACAATAATACCCAAACATTTTGAGAAATTTAAACAACTGATACTCATCATGCTGGATGACTATTAGGAACTACAACAAGATGGTAAAAGCATACACAGGATATATCTATGATCTTTATAAAGACCCTATCTTATTTGAAGACACAATTGATAATTTTAATGAATATCTACCACAATCTTTAACTAAATTTAAATTACAAAGTTTATTCAGAATACGTCAACAAGAGAAATTGGGGACAAAGAATGAATATTATCTTGATGTTAATAATAAAGAGGAACTATGCAATGGTAAGTTTCCATACCTTTGCTGGCTTTATAATAAAAGAAGAGAACTAACTTAGCTTGATAGCTATTTTTAAAATAAAGTCGAAGTTTTGTATATTAGGGGAAGATCTAAACTCCAAAATTGTTGAAAGACTTAAATTAAAAAAAAATGAAAGACCAAAATACTTTAATTCATTATGGAAAATCTTTATCACAGCTCAAATAAGTTATGATTTCCCTCAAACTGATGATGATGATATTGATTGTTATAAAGTGATGGAGGATAGGATCAATTCTAATAATCTTTCAATATTCAATCATTCGTTCAAGAATATTAAGTTCCAATCCGTTGAAGAAATCAAAAATGATGAACTCTATAGGAATATTCATGAACTAGAACTATTTATTGATTATTCATTAAACAAAATTGATGAAATGAAAGCTGAGGAGGGATTAAGGTCATTATTAGATGTGCTCTATTCAAACCAGTTATATGTCTTTAATTTAGGATTAGATCTAGGGAGGGACATCAAACTTAGAGCTGAAGCCATGGATAGACTCATCTTGGAACCAATGTTTCGGTTTATTAGTTATTTACTTTCAATTGATAATGATATTCGTTTTGAGACTTTTGATAGGTTCATTGAAAAATCAAAACCCAGTTTAATTTGGGATTCTTTATCCTCTATGGATGATGATTTTGGATCATACCCTAAAAACCTTAGAGATGAAGAAATGTTTCATTCACATATATCAGATTTTTCACTTAATTTATTTGATTCAAATTGTTCAAGAATACCAATATGTGGGATTGATATAGAAGGTTGGGAGTTTTCAAAAATACTTGAAAATAATAATAAAAAAACTGATGGTAATTTTGCCAATTTATCAAAAATTTTCCGTCAAGTTGCTCCATTTCAAATATTTGGAAAATTCAATAGTTATATAATTAGTAATTTCAATAATACTATATATCTTGAATATCCATTAAAAGATGGTAAATGGGAAAGTGATAATGAAGAAGATGTGTTCATTGCTGGTGCTCCTGTGAGATATAAATTATTTGATAATAATGCTGATACACCAGCTGATTCTTTTTCAATTCAGCTTTCGTTGTTGTTGAAAATTTATGATACTATTAGAAGAAAGTTATGTACAGATTCATGGTTAAAAGATTCAAATGGTGATGATTTATTAAACCAAGGAACATATAGATCATTGGATGAAGGTTGGAATGAAAAAAAATTCAATCCATTTGTTATATCACAATTTAATCACGGGTTTAAAAAAAATGTTGCATTGAATAAAATGGAAATGTTACAAGAGGAGGAAATAAAAGATTTTAAAAACACGAGGGCTTCAAAAAGGTTAAAACTGCAAAAAGAATCAGAAGGTGATAAAATTTTTGATTCAACAAAACTTTTCCCAACTAATGTCAGTTTGAAAACTTCAAATTATGAATTATTAGAACAATATTCATACTTTAGAGGTATAAAACTTATTATTGATCAAACTTCCATATTTAAAAGTAATACGTCAAACATTTCGAATAAAGTATTCTTCAAAATGTTTGATTTAGCTAATGTAAAATATCTTCATTGGTATAGAACTATTGTTGGCATGCCATATTATGAAGATGAAGCTAAAGAATTTAATCAATCCGAAATTAATGTATTGTTTACATTAGAAGATCATTCTAAGAATTTCAAGCACATTTTGGAAAATATAAAAGAAAGTTATATTAAAGAAATTACAGCTTTGAAAAAGATTAATCATTGGAATTCAACACATGGGAAATCAGATCATATTAATACACCTAATTTACTACAATATGGATGGACTAATCTTGAATTGTTATCATCAGAAGGAAAATTAAAATATTCTTATTGGGGGCCATTCATTTGTACAGAATGTCTTGAATTTATAAATGATAATGAATATGAAAAAAATTCTCAAAGGGAAAAGAATTTGAATGAACAAATTAAAATTCTTTATAAATCTGGGATTGATCATAATGATATAAGGAAGTATAATTATTGTTTTGATGAATATGATAATGCATATTTGGTCGATTATGGACAAAGTATTATTGATGATAATCGATATCTTGAGAATTATGATCTTCAAAAAATTGATCCAGATGAAAAATTTCTTTAAATGTTTATTCACCATAACTTCATTATGACTTTTTTTTTTTCAATTTTTGAAATTCATCAGATTTTTAGATGTTTTGATAAAGTTTGAGGCCTCAATTGTGTTTGTTTATTACAAGTGTTGAAATACCTTTATAAGCTGATAAATAACCACATCTATTAAGGCAAATGTTGTCCAATGATGGATCTACTCTTTCTTGTGTTGTGCAAATACCATTAAATAATAACGATGTTGAAATTTTGTCTTCATTAAGCATCAAACAGATAATATTGTTTAATTTCTTGAAAGTTTCATCTTCAGTTTTAAAACATCTATGTGGAATTTTCATCCTGGAACATTTTTCAAAGGTCAACAATGACCGAGAACCATATTCAATACAAGAATCAGCAATCTCATCAACAGTGAAAATTTCATCATAAATATCTCTAAATGGCGTTTGCTGATACAACTCTTCATTTGACTTGATATTTTCAAATTTGATTCTTTCATCATCGAGATAAATTTGATAACATTGATATATATGTAAAAGTTCCATGAAATAAACATTGAGTGGGAATTTTTGATTATTCATGTGTCTTTTGTAAAAAGAACCACGTTCTGTCTCATAAATATATCTAGTTCTCAAATTACCATCTGGTTCTTGTTTCCATCTACAACCTTTAAAATTATCATTGTGATTGGTGACACAGAGTCCATTTGTTTCTGATTGAAACATTTCAATCTCAGTATTTTCAGGTTGCTTTTTTCTTTTATCAATTATACTTTTAATTAAATCATCAATAGATAATTCTGAGCCTTGAATTTTCCCAGGTGTATACATGACTTGTTCAAACCCATCAAATATGGAAATATCCATTGAAATATTTTTAATCATATGTTTCAAAACAGATTCATCATTATTTAAAATATTTTCAAATAAAAACTCTATATCATTGAAAGATGAGATAAGTATTGTATTGGTTTTTTTCTTTATTTCTTTATGTATAGGGCCCAAAAAAATTTCAGCAAATTGAGCAGTTTTTGGAATTACTTCCAAAAATTCAAATTCATGTTTAATACCTTCCTGTAAACGTTCATAAATCTTATAACCATTAACACATGGTTTATGTGGATAATCTGGTCCATATTTCAAAAAATTAGAATCATTTGCTTTAATCTTATCAGTTTTAGTTAAGATCAAAAGAAGCTGTAATTTTTCAAACTTTTTATATAATCTTGGAGCTATACTATGATAAAATTGCTTGTTAATTCTTATCAATACTTTAGGATCAGCACCCATCATTATTATATCATTCCAAATTTCTAATGGTAGTTCACCAGTTAAAGTTGGATTTTTTTTCTCAGTATTGTCTTGATCATTCTTCTTTTTATCTGTTGGATCTTTCTTTGGACATTTATCTACCATAACTTTAATGGTTCTTTTACTTTTTGAAAATCCTCTACCGATACAATGTTTTATAGGATAATGACATGTTTTCACCCTCCAATAAGAATGTAAGACTGGTTGAATGTATTCCGATGCTATTTTTTCTCTTAAACTTTTGTTTTTTTCTTCACTTTCTTCACGGTCATAATAATGATCTAAGAATTTAGGGAAATATTTTGGTAAGATATGACCTTCAACAGTATTTTTGATTGAAGCAAATAGCTTATAAGAATGTGGCATGATCTATGTTTTTTTGAAATAATATTGGTAAAATTATGTGTCAAATGCTGAAATTCTTGCTTGGTAGTGTTGATTTTGGTTAAGCTCAGGTGGTCTTTTTGTAATTGAATTGAATATAACTGAGCAGTTTCACATCCTTTATATATGACTTCAAACTGATCATTTTCTGTTGTCAACTTTATAAATGAAAATCTCTCATGATATGAACTCACTTATCTTCATCTGTCATCAAGGCTGGTCAAATAAATCTACATAAAGTATTGATTGAGAGGTTTTCAAAACCATGTATTGAATTTGAAATATTATCAGGCTTCATCAAGAAGTTGTTGTTGCATTTTTCCTGGTTTTGATTATAGCTTTTAATAAAACTAACCATTTAATTAATTCATCTTCATTTTCTGCACAAAATCGTATTCTTTTCATTGGTGTTATAATTAACATACAATATAATTTATTTTTACTTAAAGGATCTAATTCCACAACATCAATTAATTCATTCAAATTAATCTTTTTATATGATTTATTTGATTCATAATCTTTCAAGTTTTTATAAAAAATCATTGAACGATTTGTTAATATTATATAATATTTTTTCCATTGATTGTAACGTTTTTTCAGCCTTAAAAGATAGCCTTTAGCTATTAAATGTTCAGGTGAATCAAATGATAATGAATTATATGTAGTTTCTGGATCTTCATTAACATTTGGAATTTCATCATTATTAATCTTATTAAATATGGAATTTTCAGGTATTGGGGGTGGTAAACTATGATTTATGGAGAAATTTGAATTATTTGCATGAGATGAAACATTATTATGATGGAAGCTTGAATGACTTAATCCACCATCTGATAATCCACTTGTAAAATTATCATCTGTCCCTGAGAAATTCAATCTATGTAATTCTTGACCAATTTCTTCAATTTCTTCATCATTACCATGATCTTCTTGATCAATTTCTGGGTTATTACCTTGATTGATATCCTGGTTAGCATCTTTAATCACCAAATTTTCTGATATTTTCCTTGGTTTGAAGAAATTTTTGGAACCATTATTGAATTCTTCATCATCATTTAAATTAAGAATCATTGTTAATATATTAAACCAAGAATTAAATTCCTCCAAGGTTAATGATCTAAGATGATAAATACGTTCATTTGTAACTATAATGAAATGATTGGAATGATTATCAGGGATTTTACTGAATGATAAGATATTACCAATGGGTATAACTTTTGATGCTTTATATTCTTTTGAGTCCTTATAATAAGATAATTGATTTCTTCTTAATACCCACCATTTTTTTTGCCAATTTTTAGATTTATTTCTTTTCAATAAATATGATGAAATTAGAATTTCATGTTCATTAAGATTTGAGTCAGCCATTATATTTTTGAATTGGGTATAATCATTAATACAATGAAAAGTGTATGGTTTTTCCTGTAAAATTATTTTAATATTATTCTCTCAAAAGTTTCGTTCAATTTTGTGTGGGATGTTCAATTTTTGCTATTATTCGGAAATGCTGAGTCAATGCTGAGGTAATCGGCGTAGTATAAACTAGAATCATCAACAATTATGAGAAGTCTTTAATTTCTATGTATGTTATTGGTATTTGAATTCATCTTTTGATTCTCTGTTTATTTGCGCATAAAATTCTGAGTTAAAGTTCTTGAAAGAGCATGTTTAACTGTACGTATTTATGTTCTCGTATTAATTTCTCGGATTTTGTCGGCCAGCTATAGATGATGATGCTTCAACCGTCGTGAAATGAGTACAATAATGAGTTCATGACAATTTAACTAGCTATTTAATCTGCTCTGCTCTAGTTTATAAATAACCCACAGGAGTTCTAAATTTCAAAACTTCAATCTTATCTTTTATTCCCATCTTTATCAGCTTCAGAAACAAGTATTAATAACAAAGTACAACAATAGAACCCTTACAAAAATGAACATTATAAACTTATCAAAACAATCCTCCGAGCTATCAGCTCCTTGGAAATCTTACCTCACTGTTCCAACCCCCAAATCATTGATTTCCAGGCAAATTGCACCACCCGCCATTCAATCATGTTTATCCTCTAGGTATCACAAATCATCAATCACTCGAAAGGTAAACTCTAATGTGTTTTCAGCCTCCACTGATACAAAAGATAAAAAAGCTACTAAAGAAGAAGCAACCACTTTTGGTGTTTTTCCTCCAGAGCTTTGGTTTGAAATCATGAACTTAAATGATGATGTTGGTATGCTTGTTACATTAAATAAAACTTTTTACCATACATTTTCTCCCCAGATCTATGGTAAATTTGAGAGCTTGATTCTATTGTTGGTTATAAGTAGTACAAAGCAAATGAAATTAAATGATGAAATATTCATGTCAAAGGTTGGAATTGAATTTAAAGATAAACTTTCTCAATGTTATAAAATATGTGAAAGACAAAAAGAAGGTGCACATTATGATTATGAATACATTGATGTTGGAACAACTAAAGACTATTCTAATATTGATGGGTTTGAATCAAAGAAGATAATTACATCTCATAAAAAAATTGAAAGTTTGTTTAAACATATCTTACCAAATGATCAATTAACTCTTACAAAATCCATAAAGAGTATTTCTCTTGATATTTCAATCTTGGATGGATATCATGATCTTATTGGATCAAAAGGATCTAATCTGAAACAAGATTTAAAGAAATCAAAGAAAATGAATGGTGTATTTGAACAAAGCATAAGATTACCAAGAGTCAATGTTGATAATGGTGTTGGATACGTACCTACAAGTGATGAGCCATCATTCCCTGAAAAAGTTTACACAACAGAATTAACACATTTGAATCGTGTCTTTGATTATATAAATTCAAATAAAAGACAAAATATGACAAAATTTATAAACTATGATGATTTAAATTCAAAGAACCCTTTTGATTTTTACTTAAACTATTGTTCATATAAAAACGGCAGTCCATTGATCCTTAGCAATTTTCAATACTGCAGAATTTTGAGAAATTTTGAAGAGAAATCCCAATTGATAAAAATATTGAATAGAAACTTTGCTTCAAAATCTCAAGTGAATGATTTATTACATCAAATAATTGAAACCATGACAATGACATCTAGTTCAAACTCCTCTTCTTCAATAGATACTTCACTTTTAATCATTGGATTTGATTATGGAAACGAAAACTTTGAAGAATCTTATAAAAGAGAAAGAAGGAGAAGTATAACTAGTCAAAAACCAATAATGACATTGTTGAATAAAAGTCCTTTCTAGCTTTTAATATGAAGCTGTTTTCCTTATATAATGAATTACATAATCAATTTTTCTAATTTTCAATTTCCTTGCATTTCCGTAACACAAAAATCATTAACTATGACAGCGGCTAATTAAGTTTTTACTATATAAGGTTCAAAATCGCCACTTCTTTTTAAAACTTGATCTATTCATGATGGCCAGCTAGATTTTCGCTACTGCTAAGCACTTGCTAACAATAGCTAAGCATATCATTGTTGAATTTAGTTTAATATGCTGCCTTTTATTGATTTACCATTTGGGATGGGGTGTCTGACCATAGTTCTTAAAGATTCAATTAAAAATTTAAATCCAATTTCAAACATGTTTTCTATGCTCAAGATAGGTTCCATGCATTCAGATTTTTTTATTCCAATTTTGTTGTTTCAAACAATTGATACAGATTATACATTCACTAAAATTAGTCAATTTCACAAGAGAATCAATAAATCGAAACTTGCCATGTTAAATACCATTTTATTACCATCTTTGATGGAATCAGATTTATTTAATTTTGAAGTTGCTTACTTCCAGCCAACAGACAATTTAAAGGCTGAGATTTTCAATTGTTTGATGAAAAGGACAGATCTGGTATTAAAAGGTATCAACCATAGACTAATGGATAATAAAGTTTTACTTGAAAATATTACCCAGTATTTAGAGATGTATCTAAACTTGAGGATTAGATTAATGAACTTAAAATCTGAAAGATTTAGCTACTATTCCCATCATGATATTACTAAAATTTTTGAAGAAAACACTGTATTGGACATTAGAGGAGAAAATGATAACATGAACTTACTTAAAGGACCTGATGAAAACCTAGAAAATGCAACAAGAGAAGATATTATTCTGGATATAAGTGATCATTTCATTTCACAAAACTATCAAAACATTTTGTCTAAATATGTCAAATATTTTGTGCATGGGGAAGATATGGAATGTGAAAAATGTTTAGATAAGTTCATTACAAAAATTATAGTGGAATTAGAAGTACTGATACTGAATATTGATTCAGAAAAGTTGATGGAGTGTTACAAAATGAAAAAAAATGACTTCAGATTGGCTATCAGCTTTAAAATTGAGGAAAAAATCACTTCTTTCAAATCACTTCATTGGTCTAAGATAAAATTTATTCCATTGCAAAATTTAATCAATTTTTCAAAGTTGTCCCCAAATGAAAAATCAGCTATAATGAGTATTCTTGAAGCACCATCTGTTAATTATCATTAGATTAAAATAAATTATGAAGAACCAAGAAAATCCATCAAGATCATATTAAATTAATAAATCAATCAGAAGTTAACATATAAATTTACTAAAAATAAACTTGCTTGATGCGATTGTTCCAAAATTTGAAAATCAGCATCCATTAATTTTCTTTGACTGTAGTATAACTAGCACTAAATTATCTTACAAAGTGAAAACCAAGTTTCAGTAGTAGTGTATGATTCACCTTGTTTTTCTTTATGAAATTTAGATCTCAATTTGAACTCTTTTAATTAAGTAATCTTGAATGTTATATGATCTTAAATCACCTCCATTCGAATCCCTGAAGCGGGATTCATTATTTTCGATCATTATGTAATATCACGAATATCATAGCTACAGCCTACAAGTAATTAGTGGACAACTACTATCAATAATCGCTAGTATTGAAACAAATTTCATTTGCCTCCATATAAGCTTCAACTTTGAAAAATGGTCCATTGGAGCCTCACTTTTTTCAATACAAGAACTCATGAGTTATGATGATGATAATGATGTTTCAACGATCTTGCAATGAGTTTAAATGATAAGTTCCTGTTGTCAATGAATTAAGTCATTTTGTTGAGTTATCAGAAATCTAAATAACTACAAGATTTTTAAATTTCAAAACTTTTATTTCATGTGTTCTATCCATATTCATTCTTTAGAAAGCAAATATCAATAAAAAAGTATAACAACATGCAAGTATGACCCTTACAAATGTGGATATCGAAAGTTTATCTAAACAATCTTTTGATGATTTAGCTTATTGGAAATTTTGGCTTAACCCATAAAAAATTGATTATCAAACATTTTTTCCATATGTGATGCAACCACTGCTTATGTTCGAGGTATCACAAAAGTTGAATCAATCATGAGTTAAATTCTGGTATTCATTATATTCTTACAGCATCTACTTTTGGTGTTTTCCCTTTAGAGATTTGGTATAAAATTTTGAGATTGGGTGATAATATGGAGATTTTGATGGCTTTAAATAAAAGTTTCATCGAGCTAGTTTATCTAATTATTGAAACTTGAGATGGATTGATATTGTGTATATGAATAATAGATGTAAATAACATAAATATAAGTTATTGGTAAATATTTAGTATAACAATGGAGATTTAACTTTAGTTTCAATCAAATAACAGTAAGAAATTATGAAGATTATACAAGGCTAAGGTTTTATGATATGATTGTATATTTCATAGATCAATTGGCTAGCTGCTCAGAAACAGCGGCTAAGATAAGTAGCTTGTAATAATAATAATAATAATATAGTAATGGCATTTTGTAGAACTACATAGAATTCAAAACAGGAGAGTATCACTTATCTTGTAATATACCAACCCTATCATGATAATTTATACGACATTCAATAGATGATTAAACTTGTCCTAATAGTTCAACTTATAATGGAATAAACTAGGGATCTCAGGTCTAACCATTGAATAATAAGCAGTATATATTAATAAGGGGTAGTTTCGTTAGATTCAATTCCAGCACATACAATTATCAATTAATCAATCACTAATGAACATGGCGGCTAATATCAATGGATTGTAATATATGGAATGAAATCGATAATTATGGAGAGCTACTAAAGTATTGAAAAAGAAGAATAACAAAACGTTCATTAGATCAGAGAACCTTTAATATAAAGATCATCTAAACTAGACGTCTTTGTCACATTTTTTGATGAAATATCAATTTTGCATTAATTGTACCATCAGAATAAAGAAAAGATGAAATATACAGGAAATCATTAATCAGGCTCCCAACGAACTTTGCTTCAAATTTCAAATTACATACACAGATTTTGACATTAACGAGAAATTTCGATAAATGAACCATTTATCAGGTTTTTTTTGAGTAATTCAAGTAGTAAAAATTAAAAACAAATATTATGAAAAAAACAGGATATTCTAAAATATTTATATTCCAGAAAATTTCAAGTAGCTAATCCCTAAGGCCGTAGGCGTTAATAAATTCTTGGAAATTTATAGATCACAGTTTCAATTGTCACAGCGGCTAATTAATGAATCGGTGGCAAGTACAATGAGTCTACATCTATCAAATGGAAAAGAAGATAACAAAACTTTTATTCAATAATTGATCCTTTGCAAGATTCATTCACTTCCCTTTATATCGTTTCATAGATCATATTCTAAGCCCAGCTATACCTGTTGGCGTGAGTTATAAGTTCCATGACATAACAACTCATGTTCACCCAATATAACCATTGAACTTGCAATTCTTTCTTATCTATGAGCATTTACTACTAGTTAGATGCTTAACTTGTTAACCAAACTGTATAGATATTATATTGATCTTTGAAATAGTATATATGTTCTCGTATTAATATCTCGGATTTTATCGGCCAGCTATATAGATGATAACATGAACGGTCTTAAAATGAGTTCAATAATGAGTTCAATAATGAGTTCAAGAATACGTTGATGAATTGAGTACTTAAAATAAGTGAATACTTTTATTTTCTCTGATATAGTGTATAAATAAACCACAAGAGTCCTAAATTTCAAAACTTCATTCTTATCTTTTATTCCCATCTTTATTAGCTTCAGAAACAAGTATTAATAACAAAGTACAACAATAAGACCCTTAAAAATATGAACATTTTAAACTTATCAAAACAATCTCCCCAGCCATCAGCTCCTTGGAACTATCACCACCTTTTTCCAACCCCCAAACCATTGATTTCCAGACAAATTGCACCACCTGCCATTCAACCATGTTTATCCTCTAGGTATCACAAATCATCAATCATTCAAAATTTGAACCCTGATGCTTTTTCTAAAATAAATAATGAAACTGCTGAAAAAGAAGCATCTGCTTTTGGTGTTTTCCCCTTAGAGCTTTGGTATGAAATTATGAGCTCAAATGATAATGTTGGTGTGCTTGTTACATTAAATAAAAGTTTTTATAACGCTTTTGCTCCCCAGCTTTATGGTAAATTTGAAAACTTAAACTTGTTATTGGTGATTAGTAGTACAAAAAAGATGAAGCAAAATGATGAATTATTTATTTCAAATGCAAAAGTTTTTTTTAGAGATAAGCTATCATGTTATGATGAAATTTGTGAAAGATACCAACAAGGAACTGATTATGATTATGAATATATTGATGTGGTACCAAATGAGGAAGAGTACCGGGATAGTATGGAACTAATTAATTCAACAAATAAGGTCATTACATCTCATAAGAAAATTATAGAGTTATTTGAAAATATCTTAACAAATGATATATCGTTTATCAAAAAAATCATAAGAAATCTCACGATAAATATATCAATTTTAAATGGTTATAATGAGATTATTAGCTCCAAACATTCAAAAGTTAATAGAACTTTAAGGAAGATAAATAAAGTGGATGGAGTGGAAAAACATCATATCAGACTACCAAGATTTGAAGGTTCAAATTGTTTAAGACAAAACCGTCCAAATTGTTCCAGAAATCGTTATTTTAATGATCAAGATTCTACCTTTTTCCCAATAAATGTGTATTCAAATGAACAATCACACTTGGCTGTTGTTTTGGAAACTTTCGCCTCTGATAAAAAAAATTATATGAGAAACATTCATAGTTCAGAAGATCTTGAGGGCAATAATCCATTTTATGACATGTTTAAAATCTGTTTTGAAGGTAAAAATATCCCAATTAATGATCGTATTATTGAAGGAGGTGCAAGATTCTCGACAGATTTTCAATCAATGGCTCATAAAGTTAAAGTGATTAATAGAAAATTTGAAAACAAATCACAAGTTGAACATTCAATCATTCAAATTGTTAAAATTATGACTTCTGATAAATTCATGTCTTCAATCAGTACATCACTTTCACTTATGGGATATGAAGATTCATCAAATAATTCAAAAAAAGGACCTCGAGATTATGTACTATCCGATCTCAAACCAACGATAACTTTGGTGAATAAACCATCAAGAGCTACACATATGTGAAGGTTTATAGAAAATTCAATACATATTCTTTATAGTTTCTGGATGTGATTAAGGTAATATGTAGCTTTCATTCGCTTAAATGAATCATCTACTATACAAGATCTAGTAGATGTTGAGGTTCGAAGTTACGTGGGTCTAACATTTTCACTTCAACCAATTTGAATTGGATGATGGATCCATCACAAACACAAAACCAGATTACTATGACAGCGGCTGATTGAGTTTCCACTTTATAAGAGTACAAAAATCACCACTTCTTTCATAAAATGGGTTGAATTGGAGATCAATATATGCTCAATTGCTAAGGAAAAGCTAACTATTTGCAAAGATGCTTGCAGCTCCACCAATTATCACGCATACAACTACAAGCAACCACATAGGTATACAACATCATGGTTTGATTAAGTTCTTATCTACAAATAAAAATCCTGTACTGAATCTACAATCCGCTTTGATTAAAGGTTTGCTTATTGACAAGTCAAAAATTTGCAAAAACTTCATGAGAATCCATAAAAATGGTAAAAGAATAGAAATGGTTGGGATACCATATTGTGAAAACAAGATGTTATCGGTAAAGAGATGGGATTATTTCAATGCTACATTATTAAAGCAATTAGAGGGACTTCTGGATTCAAACCAATTATTCAACACATGTACACCATTGTCATCTCAAAAATGCTCAGAAATATTCAATTTCTTGTTAAAATCCATTTTAGCTGGTGATATCAAATCAAAGGTAATACATCATGGTCATTTAGAATACCTCAATGAAGGGACTTATTTTAAAGATGATTTGAATGATTTCATTGATAATTTTATAAGATTAAAAGTTCAATTGAGAAAATTTTATACTTCATTGTATTTTTTGAATGATGATGACATACAACATATGGTAGACTATTTAGATGCTTTTGACTTATTTAATTTAGACAATTTCATTCCATATCAATCACCCTGTTGTTTAGAACAATCAATTGCGTTGGTGGGGTTATTAAAAAATCAAATCAAGAAAAATCAACAGGTTTTAAACTTCAACTTTTTAAATCATTTCATTTTAAACAACACTGTTCAAGCACAAGAACTCGTTGTAAAATCTTCTGAAAGAATCATAAGCGTTGCTATAAAAAAATCATTGAAAGTTCAAGGAGTTTTCTTCTATGACTATGAAGATATAGAAAAGAATGATAAAACTGGTGAATTTTTAAAAAATTTGAAATTTATAGTTCACTCTATATTGGATGTTAACATAATGCTGTTTATGAAGAGTAAATCTTTGAACGTTACAGTCGTACCAATCAGTAAAGAAGATAATGAGCTTCAAAAAGAATTAGTATGTGGAAAGCCTAATTATATTGGTAGAACTTGTCAAAATGATGATGAATTGGATTCTATGGCTATTCACCATGATATATTAGGGGGATATGAATACCAGAGATTAATGCTGCTGTCTGCTGGTAGCTATATGATAGATTAATTGATTGAATAATCTATATTCATTGGTAATGGTGGTGGTGGTGGTGGATTTATTATGTTATGAAACCTTTATATGTGTCAATGAGTTATATAGATCAAAAGTACAAATGAGTTTATCTAAGTATTGAAATGGATTGTTAATATGTATAAATGGTAGATGTAGATAACTTAAATATAAGTTCTTGACGAATATTTGGCATTATTTAAATTCTCCTTTAAATTATTATGAATTTATGTTATAATACTTAATCAGAGTTGATATAATCGACAACAGTTAAGCAGCTACGTGATAACTTTTATACCTCTGTTTAACTCTACAGGTAACTTTTATCTATGGCTTGTTCTCTATAGATAAGTGGCAAGGTAATTTGATGCTAATGGGCTTGTATTTATAGTAGTACTAGTATAGTTGGTGGTTGGTGGCAAGGGGTAGGGGGTCGGTGTGACACGTACAAGTACAAGTTGGCGGTATAGACATCGAGTTGGTGGGTTACAACGCTACAACGTATAGATAGCTACTAAGGCGTATTGAAAAAGAAGATTAACAAACGTCTATTATTAGAGATCTTTTCTTTCAAAGATCATCAATTATATAAACTTTATGTTTATAAATTTGTATTTTTAACTTATTCACTTATTCCATTGTAGAGAATAAATATTGAACAAATAAAGTTAGATCTATGAACCTGAAAAAGTTTAAATTATTTAACGAATTCCTATTACCATTCATTTATGAAAACAGAATGCCCTGTGGTTTGAGCCTAGTACAGGAACAGGGAATTGCGAAATTTCTAGAGAATGGATTTTTAGTGAAGAGAACAGGCAAAGCGGTATGGGCCACGCTATATACTACAAAGTTAGTAATAAACTATACTCCATGATTGGGAACCCCATTCTTGTTGTTACAAATGTAACTATATAGAACATCTAATGGGAAATTAATTCGTTTATATGAGTTAATGGATAATCAATCAATACCTAGAATTTTATAAAAACCTTGAAAATCAGCATCCATTAAATTTTTCTTTGTTGTAGATGAATTACAGAAAGAGTAGTGATTATGTAATCGTTGATCAAATATAAATATTCATAATAATTAATATTTAGAAGTAAATTTGCTTAAATATCAAAATTGAGTGTTTTATCTTTTAAATAAAAATTATAATATATAGGAATCTGGTATCAAATATTATATCTATGCCCTTTAATTCACATAAGAATGCTGTTTGAAATTCTGAAATTTTGAATTTTGAAATAAAATGATACTTAATAAATTTTAAATTACACTTCAAAATATAAACATAGAATATTTCTAAATTTTCAAACTGAAAAATATAAAGAAATTGGCATACAGATACACAATAGTAGCTTCAATATACATAATTAATTGACTTCATCACCCTTTTGTCTTTAAAAAAATTGATGTTTTGCTTGATTTTAATAATTCCAAATATAATTTATTAAATCCGACTAAATCCGCGCATTCTTAGTAAGCAGTATAAGGAAAACCATATAGATATAGAGATATCTGTTGTCTGATTTATGACTGTCTGCTTATGATAAAGTAGATAAATCATTTAAAGGATTGCTACATAGTACTGTAGCTTGTAGGCTTAATACTAGGTGTTGATGGCTCAACAGTCTAAAAATGAGTTAATATAATGAGTTTAATATAAAGAGTACAATCATGAGTTCAATGAGTTCAATAATGAGAATCGAGTCATTTAATAAAGTGAATTATTCAATCTAATCAAAGACCCAGTTTATCATATAAATAATCCATAACACTTCTGAATTTCAAAACTTCTTTTTTCTTTCAATCTTTATTCTCGAAGTATTAATTACAAAGTACATCAATATGAGCTCTACAAATATGGATATTTCAGGTTTATCAGAACGATTTAAGAAAACATTGATTGATTATAATTCACGTCGTCCCATTATTTCAACACCAATGGAAAAATTTCCCACTCAATTCCAGTACCCATCCAGTTTTGAATCCTCTTTATCCTCTGATCAAAAGTTAAACTCTAATGAATCAGCTGTTACTGATGAAGAAAATAATGAAGTAGAAACAAATGATAATGAGACAGACAAAGATCATAGTGAAATAGATTTTCAAGAAGATTCATCTCTTTTTGGTGTTTTCCCTTTAGAAATTTGGTTTAAAATTTTAAAATTAAATCAAAACATGGGGGTTTTAATGACTTTGAATATGAGTTTTTATCGTGCTTTAGCTCCTGAAATTTATAATAATAAATTTGAAAACTTAGACTTGTTGTTGGTAATTAAAAATACAAAATGTATGAAGAGTATTGATGATACATCAATTACGTCAAATTATGAATATATTGATGTGGTACCAAGTGAGGTGGAGAATCCGAATAATATAAAGTTAAAGAATACAAAAATTAAAGTCATTACATCCCACAAGAAGATTATAACTTTATTTAAATATATTTTAACAAATGAATATGAATCAATTCTTAAAAAATCGATCAAAAAAATTTCACTTGATGTTTCAGTCTTAGATTCTGATTATAATGGGATTCTTAATTCAAAGATGATTTGTAAAACTTTGAATTATTTGAAAAACAATTGTGATAGAACTGAAGTATATAATATTGGACTACCAAAATTGGAAATATCAGATGTAATTCCTACCAAACTTTTGAGGGATTTAAAATCAAAAGAAATAGTTTTTTTGTCTAATATTTTGGAAAAATTTGCTTCTAATAAAGAACAATTCATATTACAAAAAAATCTTGATTGTTCCAAAAATTTAAGTTATATGAATAATAATCTATTGATTGACATGTTTACAAATTATACTGAAGCTCAACGATTTATAGCATGCTTGCAATTTATTCCAAGATCATTCCGTAAAATTAAAATAACCAATAGAAAATGTGAAAGCAAATCACAAGTTGAATATTTAATTTCTCAAATTATTATGATTATGTCTTCTGATAGATTTACCTCTTCAATCAATACATCACTTTCACTTATGGGACTTCAATATATTAAAACAACAATGGCTGTTGTGAATAAACCAGGTATATATATATTATAAACTAAATGGTATATATATATTATAAACTAAATGTCCGAAATATATTATATTAGTAATCTAAATATGAGTATATATATATTATGGATAAACCATCGCTTAGTCAGAGAGGAGATAAGCGGATGTTTATATAAATTAATTGCATGAGTACAATTGATTTGCACATATTTGTAATTACTTGAGGATAATCAGCCGTTAAAACCTTGTATTACAGTTTAATGAAAACTATTTAAACCCATGAGTATCTCCACTAAATTCGAGTCAATTAATTCATGTCTTTATCAATTCTTAACACTACGTATTGCTTATCAACATGTCTACAAATTTAGATTTAAATGATCCAAATCATCCAACAAATTTAACCCCACCATATTTAAAACTTTACTCATCAAAAGTTCCAAATGGTCAAAAAATATCAATTTATTTATCACTATTGAAACAAGATTATATTTTTAGTAATGTAAATATTCAAAATTTAGAACAAAAACAAGATTGGTATTTAAAAATGGATCCAAATGGTAAACTTCCAACTTTTAGTGATGTTGATTCTCAGGGGAAACAAACTATAATTTTTGAAAGTGCAGCAATTTTATTATACTTAGGTGAACATTATGATTTGGAAAGGAAATATTATTATGATTTAAAACATGAATTATATTGGGATCAAATAAAATGGTTAATTTTCCAAGTTGCAGGTCATGGTCCATATCAAGGACAATCTGAAATTTTTAAAAATGTTTTAAAAAATAAAGATGAATTTGCTACAAATAGATTTATAAATGATACTAAGCGGATATATAAAGTTTTTGAAGATCGATTAAATGAAAATAATGGTTGGTTAGTTGGTAATTCCCTGAATATCACAGATATTGCAGCGTATCCTTGGTTAAGAAGATATGGAAATATTGGTATTAATATTGATGAATTCCCCAATGTTAAAGCATGGATTGAAAAAATTGATAAAATTCCTGAAGTTGAAAAAGGTATGAATGCAGGTCCATAATTACACATACATGATTTTATCATAAATTATATTAATCATTATTATTATTCGTTATAAATATTTGAATATATAGAGTTTAATTGTTTATTCACTTTCCCAATTTTTTCTTTATTTTTTGTAATTTTTGTCTTTCCACAATTTCTCTAATCATTAAAGAAATACTTTCATCAACATTTTCATTAATTTCATTTTCCACCAATATAAATGAAGATTTCCAATTATTTGCTAATTTTTTACCATCTTCAATTAATTTTGGTGATTTTCCTTCATGTTTTGAATGTGTACATACTATAAGAATTGGTGGTGGAGAATCTGGTGATGATGGATCAATATCAATTTCATCTAATCTATTTGAAATTTTTCTTAATTCTGCAAGTTTCAATTGTTCTTCTTCATAAGATTTTAATTTCCATAATTGTTTTATACCATAAATTAATGAATAAACATCACCTTCTGAACCTTTTTTCCATTTTTTTTGATAATTTCTATATTCTCTCCATGCATCAATTATTGCACCTCTAATAATATCTAATAAACTTAAAGGATCTTCTTGTGATGTTACAGTATTTAATTGATTTGAATCTGTTGTTATACTTGAATTTCTTGAAGTTGAAGGTGATAAAACATCATCATAACTTGGTGGATTAAAACTTGGAACTGCACTATACATAAAAATATAACCATTAACATTCCCATTCATTTCTGATGCACCACTTGCTACAAGTAATGGATTTGTTGATACTGGTCTTCTTGGTTCATTTGCTAAATTATGTAAATCTTCTTTATCTAAATTTCTATAAAGTGAAACTTCAAGAAATGGTACAACTAAATCAGGTTTAAAAGGTGGAGTATCAATTAATTCAATTAATATTGGTGAATAATTTGGCTCTTGGTATTGACCTTCAATTGAATTATCATTATTAGGGAAATCATAAGAATAATAATCATTTTTAACTAATGATTTATTTGCCTTCCCTTGAGAATTTGCATTTGAACTTGAACTATTTCTTCTTTTTTTCAATGATACATGATTTTTATTATAAGATTGGAAAATTGTTGGAGATAATTGTAAATCATTTTGTTGATTGATTAATTTTTTAGCCTCAAGACCACCATATTCATCTAATATACTCTTTGCTCTCTTTGTTCTTGGTTTATATTCAAATAATAATATTGTTGATTTATGAGTTGGATAATAAGTTTCTCTGAAAAATTTTGAATGTATATTATTAGCAAATGTTGATTTCCCCACGGCTGGTCCACCTAAAAGAACTAGTTTAACAGGATGTTCAGAATTGATTACTTCAGAGGACATTTTGATTCCTAATTGTTTTTGAATTTGTTGATGTTCTTTTTTGTTGAAATTAATTTTTGTATTGTTTTGATTTTTCTCACCGTATTTTTTTTTTTTAAACAAAATTTAAATTTTCGGTGTTTTCCTAGATAAGAAAATATTGAAAATCCGATTTGACACATAAATTAACAAACTACAAATTTAATTTTAAATAAATCTATTCGAACATCCTGATGTGTTTATTTTATTTTATAAATTATGAAAGAATTAATTAAATCTTTTTTTTTTGTATCAAATTGTATGGAGGGAAACTAAAAAAATGGAGGAGACAAAATTGATGGAAATTAATGAAAATTAGGATTAAAATTAAATTAAATCTTGATCATTTGATTTATCAACATTTTTATCTTCATCTTCATCATCTTTACCATCTTCTTGATCTTGAGAACGATCATAAAATTCATCTAAAATTTTTGGAGAAATTCTATTTAATAATTCTTTTGGATAAATTCTTAATAATGACCAAGCTTGATCTAAACTTTCAAAAATTGATCTATTTTCATAAGCACCTTGATTAATAAATGTTTTTTCAAATTTTTCTAAAAATTCTAAAGATAATTTATCCTCGGTAGATAAAGCTTCTTCACCAACAACTGCCTTCATTGCTGCAGCATCTCTACCAATAGCATATTTAGCATATAATTGATTTGAAACATCACCATGATCTTTTCTTGTCATACCTTCACCAATAGCACTCTTCATTAATCTTGATAAAGAAGGTAAAACATTAATTGGAGGATAAATACCTCTATTATATAATTGTCTATCAACAGAAATTTGCCCCTCGGTAATATAACCTGTTAAATCAGGAATTGGATGTGTAATATCATCATTTGGCATACTTAAAATTGGAATTTGAGTAATTGAACCATTTCTACCTTCAACTCTACCAGCTCTTTCATAAATAGTTGATAAATCTGTATACATATAACCTGGATAACCTCTTCTACCTGGAACTTCTTCTCTTGCAGCTGAAACTTCTCTTAAAGCATCAGCATATGAAGACATATCTGTTAAAATTGTTAAAACATGACGTTCAGTTTGATAAGCTAAATATTCTGCAGTAGTTAAAGCTAATCTTGGAGTAATAATTCTTTCAATAGTTGGATCATTTGCTAAATTTAAAAATAATGAAGTTCTTTCTAAGGACCCATTTTCTTCAAAATCTTGTTTAAAAAATCTTGAAGTTTCTAAATTTGCACCCATTGCAGCAAAAACAATTGAAAAATTTTCTTCATGACCATCATGAACATCTTTTGTTGGACGAACTAAACCTGCTTGTCTACAAATTTGTGCAGCAATTTCATTATGAGGTAAACCTGAAGCTGAAAAAATTGGGATTTTTTGACCTCTTGCAATTGAATTCATTGTATCAATTGCACTAATACCTGTAGAAATCATTTCTTCTGGATAAATTCTTGCATAAGGATTAATTGGTGACCCATTAATATCAAGATAATCTTCTGCAAAGACTTTTGGACCATTATCAATTGGACGACCGGACCCATCAAAGATACGACCAAGGACATCTTCAGAAACTGGGATTTTTAAATTTTGACCAGTAAATTCCACTCTTGTTTTTTTAACATCAATACCTGAAGTACCTTCAAAAACTTGAACAACAGCACGATCACCACGAACTTCCAAGACTTGACCAGCTCTTACAGTACCATCTGGTAAAGTTAAATTAACAATTTCATTAAATCTTGGGAATTTAACATTTTCCAAAATAACTAAAGGACCATTAACACCTCCCACAGTATTATAATTTAATCTTGGTTTAATTTTGAAACCTTCAGTAACTGCTTTTTTGTTCAATTCGAACAATTCTTTATCAGAGAGAGACATTGTGAATTGAGGAATGTATTATTATATTCAATTGATCAATAACAAGCCAACTTGTGTTGTATTTACTTATTTATGTATCAACAATTCCTTTATCAATTTCAATTTTCCCTTTAACAATTTTAGAAATTTGGAAAATCAAAAAAGGCTGCCACGCTGCAATTGAATTCGCGAATATTGATTTTTGATTATGTAAGTGATTATTATCGGTGGTCAATTACCCGGATGTGTTATTTATTATACTTGTATTTATATATTTACTAAGGTAATATAAGAGAAAAGCATTAATAAAATATGAAAATAGTATTTTCTCGCTCAAAGGTCTTGATTCCTATCTATTTTAATTTAATTTTATATATCTCAATAAATATACAACAAAATACCCATTATTATTACCAAATTGGGAAGTCTACATATACTTCAAATTCAAATTTATAGAAAAATTACTTGACAATAATTGAAGTGGAATAGTAATTATTTGTTCATGAAGATAACTTCAGAGATTTCATATAGGATTTTACTACGTTATTTATTGTATGTGCAAAACAACTAACTGCTTGTGAGTATCATCAAAACTCGCTTGAAACAACAAACACTTTCAATATTTGAAATTTGAAATGTTTGATGTTTTAAGTGTGTGTTTTAAGTTTTAGTTTCTTAATTAACCTGATTTATTTGATAGTGAAATAAGAATCTTCTGTTTTTCTACTGAAGAAGTATTATCCTAGTCTAGGAAACAGCATCATACATATTGTATTCTTTTCTCAGGCTTGACGCTGACAACAAATTCTTTTTATTTTCATAGCTTTGAAATTAATCAAGATATGTTAATAAAACAATATATAAGTCCATAAATCCCACTGTTTTCCCATATGAATGTGAATAACAATCATTGAACTCTGGTTAACTTATGGATATCATATTTTTTGAAATTAATAATTGATTGTAGTTCTATATATATTGTAAACTCATAAATCATATATTATATACGCCAAAATTTCCATCCATTGGTAATTGTATTATAAACTTAATTTAAACAACGTCTTGATAAACATATGTTAAAAATTTATATATAATATAATTAGCCTCTATAATATTTACAATTTCAAAGTTATATTAATATGAAAATACACCACTAATCATATATAAAAATGTAGTTAATCTTTTATTTTATCTATTTCAATTCAATTTTTATACTTAAATTCATATACAACTAACTATACATTATTATTACCCAATTGGGAAGTCTACAAATAAAGCAATTCAATTCTCGTAGGGAAAATAAAACTTCAAAAACTAATTTACATTCTTAATAGTTGATGATTTGGTGGTTTGAATAAAATTATCTTCTTCTTGAAAACCTCGGACTACGAATCTGGCCTTTGGCTTACCTGTTGTCTTTTATGGCAAATACCCATCTAGTTTTGTTATGATATGTTCATTGTTTGACTGAATTTTAGATAATCAAATTGTATTTGAAATCAGTTAAGATATGTTGATAGAACTATTAATATATAATATAATTCATAAATTCCATTGTCTTTTTTCATATGAATGTGAATAACAATCATTGAACTTTGGTTTATTTATGAATATCATATTTTTTGAGATTAAAGAATTGAAATTGTAGTCTACATAAATTATAAACAAACTCATAAAATCATACATTATATTAACGCCAATTAAACTCCAATTATTCACTCATCATCATCAAAAATATCATTTTTAATAACTTGCCATTCATTATTTTTTTCTTTAATTTTATTAATCAAATATTTATAAATCAATTGATTTAATTCATATAAGTCAATCTCACCTGGTTTAAAATCATTTGAATCATTAGACGTTATTTCATGATTATTATTAACAATTTTATAAATTAATTCATCAATTTTAAATAATGTTTTATAATTATGGATTTTTTCATCTAATTGGAAGAATTTTAATATTTCCATGATATTTAAAATTAATCTTGATAATGAATTTATAAACCAAATTAAATCATTTTTAGAAATATCAAAAATTGATGATGTATTTGAATCTGCTAATTTGGGTAATATTTCAAAATTTTGAATCTTGGGGTTAAATTGATCTTCTTTTGTCATAATTTTAATATCATAGGGTAAATTTATAAACCAAATTTGTGATATTTGATAAATAAATTTTGTAATTTGTAATAATGAAGAATTTATCAGCTCAAGTGGGTATTGTGTTAAATTATAAATTGATATAATTGGATTGAAAGAAATTAAAAAAATTAATTGATTTGATGTTTTCCTTTTTTTGATATTATAAATATTTATTAATTCTTGAAATAAAATTGATTGATTATTATTTATTTGTTTTTGAAATTTCAGGGAATCATCTAATATTTGATTAATCTTGGATGTAATTTGATCTTTATTATAATTTAATGATTTAGATGCTATTTTTTGTAATTTTTCATGTTTTTCCAAATTTAATGATTCAAGCCTCAGTTTCTTTGAATCTGATTTACTTTTCAATATATTTATTTCTCTCAAAATTTTATTATTTTTCCTTTGAATTAATTTTGAATCTATAGTTAATAATTGTGAAGATAATGCAGCAATTGAATGGATTGAAACTGAATCATTAACCACTTTATCTTGTTTATCATTTATATAATCTTTCAAGAATGTAATGTTTTCACCTTGGATACAATTTTGTAATATTTGATTAACTGATTTCTTATTAAAATCTAATTCAATTAATAAATTAATATAATTTAATTTTGGTTTTAATAATTGGAAATTTGTACAACTTGAACATAATAGTTGATGATCTGAACCATTATCATTACCACCATGTATATGACAGATTCCACATCTAGTCATTATGATACATTTGAATTGAATTGAATGGGTTTAATGTTGTGATTGTGTTGGATTGTTGATGTTTGATGTGTTTATGTGGTTATGTTTTGATAAGGTTATAAAATTCGCGACCAATTTAAAGAACTTCAAACTTCACCACTCAATATAACGACAATTATACCTGCTGCTAAAAAAATGGATGAGAATTATGAGGATTTGTTCAGTGATGGCAGGGAATGGCTCAAGGATTTATGTGACAATTTGAAAGAGAAACTTCCAAATCCATTCATAGATAGCTTTTTCAAGATCTGTTCCACTTTAAAGCTAATATTCTCTTATATTATTGTTAGCAAAAAAAGCCAAAAAGCTATAAGGCAGTAAACAACATTAATTTTAGTTAAAAATACTTGGAAACTCAAATGTAATGTACTCAACTATTCAAAGATGGTATCTTCTCTAACTGATTTTGACTATGATCTCACTAAAAATGCTATTCTTATGGAGGATGGAGGATACAATTGATAACATGAAAATTACGTTTTCGATTAAAAAGGTTTTTATATCGAACAAGATGATTTTAGAAAAGAATAATTTGAATACATTGAAAGTATTATTCCTTAATGAGATGGTTAACTACAATGGAAAAGATATAAAAAATAACAGGTTTATTTAATTATTATGATCCAACTTGTGTTTGATTTTCTTTCAACTTTTTCCTTTCTTCTTTAAACTTCTTTTTTGCTTCTTTCAACTTCTTTAGTTGTTCCTTCTTTTCCTTCTTTTCTTTCCAAATAAGAAATCTTTTATGAGTATCTGGTAATAAATCAAATGGAAGTGGGGGTATTAATGTGGCATTTTCTTCTTTAGTGATTTGTTCTTCAGATTTAACCATAGATTCCATCCAATATCCTAAATTATAAGGATTTGGATCTTTCATCATTATTGATAAAATCATCATTTGAATAGTATGTCTTGAGTCAATTTTTTCACCATTAAAGAATTTATATTCAAT